ATCCCACTCATGGAAATTCAGGTGTCACAGAATTAGAAGCACGAGAACAGATACATAAAAATAAAAAACTAGAATGCTGTATACCTTATAAACATCTACTGTTCACACAAAAGGAGCGATGAAAAACAGAATGTACTAAACAGAATGTACACCTACATAAAAAAAATTATTACGCGTACTGAGACAAAATAGTTACAACACAGGGGGAGGGAGGGGGCCGGTGTCCATTTTTCCCTGGAGCTCCTAACATGGCAATTCAGCCATGTCTTTGGGTGGATCAGTTCAGTACAGGTGTTTGATTTTTTTTCAACTGTTGCTCCTGTAAATCGAGCCTAGATCACTTTACCTTGTTCTCTTTTGCAGTAAGGCCACTGCACTTTTCAGCAGGATTCCCGTAATCCATGTTCAGTAACTCTCCATAATATCCACAGAGGGGCAGTGTTTCCCTTTGTTACCATGCTGGTCATAGCAGATAGCACTTCTTTCAGAGAAATGTTATTTGTAAACACATTTCACACTAATTTACTGTGTTTTTTCCCTGTTTATAGATGATGAGTCTTAAACATATGGCACACCCTGATAGAAAGCATTAAAGTACACCAAAGCTAAGGCAAATGTGGGCCCCCCACTGCACCCATATTCCTCCCACTCTCTGTGCATGGTCTATGTACCCACCTATATTTTGCCCAGAGCCCCAGACACCAACCATTGTTATATAATAATATACTGGCCCCGGTTGGGAGCTGTGTGTTTAACTTAGTGGTAAATTGATTGAACATACATTTATTTTGGAATGTGCAAACATTTGTCACAATATTAACTGAAATAATAATGTTTAACTAATTGCCACACAGTGTTCCCAGGACCCTTGGGTCCTCTGAAGGTCAAGGGCCCTAGGACAGTTTCCCCCTTTGTAAGGGTTAAGGGTATTTCATTGTCATTGTTACATTTAAAACTATCCCTCAAGGGAGCAGTGGGCAGCCACTGTGCCGTGCCCAGGGACCAACTCCTGATCTGTGCCAGTGTCTCAGATCAGTTGCACTGGCTGGACAACCTAACATGTCTTTGATGAAACCGGACCACCCGGAGGAAACCCACGCAGACACAGCAAACTCCACATGGAAAGGCCGAACACCACGCTGCTTTGTCCAGTTGGGAATCATGCCTTGCACAACATTAACTCTGGTTTATGCTGTAAAGACCCCCCTCTTCTCCGCAGGGATGTTATATTTGAAGTTTAGAGTACTGCTGAACAGAAAATCGATAACAAATGACACTGAATAAATGGATTGATTAGTTTTGAGAGTTGTATTTGGCTGCGCTTTTTACTTACATGACATTTCGCAAGGTTTTTATTCGCATTTATTGAAAAGCGCCTGATGTCTTAGGAGCTTTTAAAGTGACATAGTTTTATGTAGGGAAGTGGTGTGTAGCTTAAAACTACTGCTGAGAGAGAATTTTTTTGTGTCTTTAATTGGGGGCCTTTTTTTACCAGACAAATTGCTACATTTTACCTTCATTACTCTTTCATACAACCTTTCCGATAAATTCCCATTCTCAAATGGGTTTCTAAAAGTATAGAATTGGACTTTTTTTTTTCTTAGTTAGTTGGGTACTCACAGTCCAGAGAGCGGAACTGGATACTAGCAGACATCTGACATTTTACTTTCAAACCTTTGGCTGAAAAGGATAACATAGTCATCGAGTTACGGTCCCTAAAGCAGCACATCTTCTGGCCTAATTGGGTTGGATGCCTCAGCCAGATATTGTGGTGGCATTTTGCCTGAGAATTCCCTCAGCTCCCCGATGATGAGCCCAGTGTGCCTTCGTTTATCAATGTCTGCCTGCTTTTGCTGAGTAGTTTGTTTTTGGCCTTCGCACAATATATCACCTGTCACATCTAATGGGACCCAGTATGGAGTACACAGGGCCCCAGCAGATCCCTTGGGTTCATCTTTGTTTCCATTTCCACCATTGCCATAGATAACTCCTTCAATAGCTGCAGCCCTCCACCTCTGCTGTGCTGGAGAGCTCTCGCTGTGCTGCCACAAAATCAGGCTTTTTGCAGTACAATGGATGGAAGTCACAATAAAACACTTATGATTGAATTTGAATAATAACAATAGGCATTTATGGTTGACAAATTATTAAAGACTTCAACTATAAGTATTTGGTTGAGTGTTCCCCAAAGGTGCTTAATGGACATAATAGTACAACCACAGGTGGTGTGCTATGCTCAAACAAATAACTTTCTGTCACAAGTGGACATGAAATGATTTGGCCCCGGGACTGGGGAAATTGTTCAATTGTTGGGTGGAAAAGTATTGACATTATCCTCTGCAATGGGATTGTTTTATTACTATTGGTATATGTAGCCTAGTTGGTATGTTAGTTTAGTATTATTTTACTATTTAACATGATACTATCATATTATCATTCTCAAATGTATTGGATTGTTTTGTGCTCCTATCAATGTCAGTATATATATATATATATATATATATATATATATATATATATATATATATATATATATATATATATATATATATATATAGGGTTGGACCACCTCTTGCCGACAGAACTGCCTTAATTCTTTGTGGCATACTTTCAACAAGGTGTTGGAAAAATTCCTCAGAGACTTTGGTACATATTGACATATTTGTCAGCTGCACATCCATGATACGAATCTTTCATTCCACCACATCCCAAAGGTGCTCTATTATTGGATTGATATCTGACAAAGTTCAACGTGTTGCGCATTCAGACATGGTATTCTGCATACCTTGGTTGCAACGAGTGGTTTTTTGAGTTACTGTTGCCTTTCTGTCATCTCTGCCCATTTTCAACCAACTGCCGCTCCCTGGATATTTTCTCTTTTTTTCTCTGTAAACCCTAGAGATGGTTGTGCGGGAAAATCCCAGTAGATCAGCAGTCTTCTGAAACACCAAAACCATCAACCATGCCACATTCAAAGTCACTTCCCATAGGAAAGCAAAATCCAAGATGAGATCTCATAGTTGTTTCCTTCTTTTCTCCTAGACACAAATGAGCTGCTTTTAATACCAAAGTGAGACCAAAGGCCTTTTCTCCTACTCCTCAAATTCATCTCAGGAGAAACAACCATATAAAATCTCATTTATGTCTGACTCTGATCAAAACAAGAGATCTCTAACTGATCTTAAATAAGTCTAATTGAAGTCTCCTGAACATTGGACCATGAGATCAGAGAAAGAGCTCAAAGAAAACTCAGCTATGACTCCTGGGATCTCATGATTCTTCTCAAATATGTCTCAGTTTTCTCATATTGGCCTCAGGAACTCATCTCTGTCTTACTCTGATCAAAAGATGAGCTCTCTACAGTATCTTAAATAAGTGTCATTTCAGTCCAGAATGTGCATCAGAAAAAAAGCTCCAAGATATTTCTCAGTTTTGTCTTAGTGACCCCACTTAGGGCTTATTTTACTTTCATCAAATGTTGAGGTTGAGTATTTTCTTTTTATGGGGGTTTGTACTTTCACTCCCCTTAATTTCAAATCCTTATTGTATTTATTGTTAATTATCTATTAGAAGTTACTGAGAAAAATAAAATACATTTTGACATTGAAAATAATGCACTTCCAAATGTAATGTTTTCCAGTTTGTTAAGGTAGTCACAGCCAGCATAACTGGAACACCAATACTTTAACATGATGTTTAGAGATTAATTCATTAAGGACCGAATGCACGCAAGAACTGAGATACAACATGTATTCTGTATGTTTACAGAATGAGCACTTTTACTTTTGATAATTAAGTACATTCATTATGGAATACTTTCATACCTTTTTCTTGAGTCGAATTTTGAGGACTTTAATTGTGGTATTTCTCTTCTTTTGAGTAAAGGGAAATTGTACTATATTTAAAGACAATCAGTCCTTTGAGCAGTGTTGTTGCCCTTTGAACAGCAGGACCGGGGTTAAAATCCAGCTCAGGGCAAGCCTCCAGCAAGGTACTCTAATGCAATACAATCATACTCACAAACATCTCCCCAGTGCTCCTAACTGCTTTTTAGGAGCAATATAAGCAAGACATTAACAAACTCAAAAAGATACAATGATGAGATCTCATCTGTTACTTCCATTTGTAATCTCAATTCAATATCCATTTGTCTTACCTGAGTCTCAAAAAGTCAATCTCTCTTCATGCTCCTAGGTGGGTTTTAGGAGCAACAATTTAGGTTGGAATGATCTCAAAAAGATATACAATTGAGATCTTTGAGCTTTCTCCAGAGTTAAAAAAAAAAAGAAAAGTCTTCTCTGAGCAAAATATTTTTCCTCTGGGTTAAATACCCTTTGTTCCCCATTCTGCTGCTCGGTTTGAATCTCAGCAAGTTGTCTTGACCACATCTACATGCCTAAATGCATTTTGCTACTGGAGTTTATTAGGCAAACATTTTTCTTCATTGTTGATTAGCCCAGGTTATTCTTGAAACATGCAATATATTCATATTTGCAGCCATCAGTTTCAACATTTCATTGTTTTTGAATACCATATTATCCAACTATAGCTTAGTTACTTTGGAGAAAGGTGGTTACATCCGGTGTCAAGTGAACTACTTGAAGTGTAAAAGATATTTTTGCTCTTAGGGTTAAGAGTTAAAATAACTGTCTTGTCAGACTAAAGTTTACTACACTGATCTATTCATCTTCCTCGCTCGCATTGATACCGGAAGGTGCTGCTGCTGTCAAGACAGACGACAAGAATAAACTTTAGACTCTACCTTTCAAAGTAAAACCTACATTGAACTACCACATGTGTTGCTAATTATACAACGCTCGATTTTTCTGCTATGGTTTGCCCCAGGTGTTAAGGTAATACAGAATATTTCATTTGAATTACAGCGCGTAACCCTCTACTTAGCCATATTTATGACCAAAACGAGCAAGTACTAAATTTTATTTTTAAGCTAAAGTGATTACATTTCCGGGCTTGAGCCGTGTATTTCGGCTTACTTGACGCGGCTGTAAATGGGACAAATGAAGTTCATTTTCCACAGCTGGCGATGGCGGATGTTGTTGTTGATAAAGACACCATGAAGAATTACCACACAGCGTCTGAGAAAATTAACCCAGCGACCAGTCGCTATCCGTACTGTATTGTGTGGACACCTATCCCCGTGTTGTCGTGAGTTATCGCCGTCCACTGTGCCAGTCGGCTTTTGACAGACCTCGGGACAAGAGACGAAGTGACAGCTTTATTAGCTTAGCTAGCTAGCAAACGTACAATACCATCCTGTTGCTGATTTCCTTTTCTAAAATCTGCTATTACTAGCGTGGCTTTGGGGTTAGTAAGACACAGTAAGGATATGTATTCAGAATATTAAAATGTTATGTGTAACGTTATAATTTAAAATAGAAATAGATTTCGGTGCATATATAACGTTAATCAGGCAAAAATTAGTAAACCTATTATGAACACCAAGTAAACAAAAATGTCTTACAACACAAAAAGTGTTTAACATACTGAAAAGTTGAAGGCTAAAGATCTATGTGCTTTAACTGTTAAGTTACCCTGCAGTAAAGTGCACAAATCTTAATTTTTTTTTAGTAATGACACAATTTGTCAAAGATACCTTTTACATATTATTTCAAAACAATTTTCAACTTGCTAAGTATCGAGATCATATAGTTACTTTTAGTGATATTCCTATAACAATGGTTCTCCTAAAGTGAGCGTGTGTGTGTGTGTGTGTGTGTGTGTGTGTGTGTGTGTGTTGATGGGGCCGGCAGCCAGACAATTTCTTTTGAAATTACTACTTTCGCTTTTTATTGTCTGTCACCTCCATTACTTCCTCCAACTACAGTAAGTCTAGTGAGTGCTGTATAGTAGCACATCTCACACAGGCCTTGACTGTCCTGAGTGGACCTGGCCAAAGAAGAGGTTATGTCCACTGATATTTGGGTATGTGTCAGTGTTTCTGAGTTTCTAATGTTAACTTTGCATGTTTTGTTCAGATGGCTGTTTCCATTCATTGGCCACATGGGAATCTGCACTTCCACTGGTGTCATCCGGGACTTTGCAGGACCTTACTTTGTCTCCGTGAGTAATGACTGTAGTCTTGTAACATAAGTCTGTGTTTGAGAGAATGTTTTAGCCTGGATGTGATATTAAGTACAGTACAGTGGCTCTACACTAGCAGTGTGAGCTTCAAGTGTTTTTTTGGAGCTGTCAACAGAAAACATATGTCACCCCTTCAGCTTGAAAGTATACTTTTTGAAAAGTTGGTAACTTGCTCTTTCACAAAGGATGGCACTTACAGTGTCTTGCAGTGTAACTGCCATTGTTTTGCTGGAAAACTGTTTTGCAGTATTACTGCAAAATGAGAGTTTCCAAAACAAACTTGTCAAGCCACTGAATCATCCACTTCTTTTCTCTCCGTTTGTATTTTCAGTATGTTTCAAACACTACATTTTTTTTGCCAGAATATGGCTAAATAAACAACTTTAGTTTTGTTTGTTTCTCAATTGGAACCAGCGTCACTGAATGCAGTTGCGTCAGGCGTTTCATAAATAATGGACACAAACTGCACAGTACGCGTAGATGGAGGTACGGTAACTTTAAAATAATTACAAGAGGTGTTGCTTCAGGTACAAGTGGGATAATGACACATGATCCTGGAAGTCCAGTTTGACTCATAGATCCATGAGACTGAAAGCTTAACAGACACCAAAACTCTGCACAGCTGTGTTCACGTTACTGTTTAATTTACTAGGAAGGTGCGCTTGCATGCGATCGGGGAACGCAGCAGATGATGTATTGCAGTGTTGTACCACAAATTAAGCCCGATTCCCATGGCGGGGCCCTCTCCATTGGCACCCCTGCTGTATCAAAGCAGGGATCCCATTAACATGAGTGAGGGGGATGCATTTTTTTCACACAGTGCTGTTGTCTGTCTGGCCACTGCCTAACAGGTTCTTACACTTTTCAGCTGATTATAATGTAGAAATGGTTCACAAAACCCTACTGTACAACTAAAGTAAATTTCATGAGCCTTTTGGCCTGGAAAGAGTAATACAGTTTTACTCAAATTGTCTGGTAAAAGATGTCAACATTGCTCCTTTTGCTGGGGGAAAAAAACATACCAGAAGTCCAGCGTGGTTTCTTCTGCAAAGAACGCAACTGTTATCCAGAACATTGAGGTCTATCAGCAACAGCACAACCCACAGAGTGAAGCATGATCCCTAAATGCTTGATGTATGAGAACCAAATGTGTGATAGACCACGTTTAGATGTGCTTTACAGAGCCACTTTCAGGCCAGCCTTCCAAAGACAAAACTACTTAACAATTGCTTAAATTGTACACTCAAAGAAGTTAAGGGTAATTTTACACACAATGTTGTGAAGATGCCAAAGTCAAGTCTTTCAAACATATCAGATTATCATAATTTTTTTAGTCTGGACACCGCTTCTGATGAAGATGCATACATTTTGTAGAGGGGCATAGGGTGGCTCAAATTCTGTCAATTGAGTTAGAAAATCTATATGTTGTGGTTAGAAAAAAAGGGGGGGCAGGTAAAGAAACATGAATACAAATGATCACTTAATCTGTTTTGAAATTATAAATAGCAATAAACATTTTATTTTATTTTCAGGAAGACAACATGGCTTTTGGAAGACCAACAAAGTAAGTGAATGACAATGTTAGGGAAGATTACACAGAGATTGTTCAGTGAACATTTTGCTGCAGAGAAATGGTGAGAACCAAATGTTTTTCCCTACTGTCCTATACAACAATCCGGTTTGTTTTTCTCTCTTACTGTAGGTACTGGATGCTTGACGTTAGCAAAGTCTACGCTAGTGGCTCCAATGCCTGGGACACAGCGGTGCACGATGCTTCAGAAGAGTATAAGCACAGGATGGTAAATAAAATAATAAGTATGTATTTTATTTCATTTATAAAAGTGAAAACCCCACTAATGATTTGTGCTCTTGTTTTCTCCCAAGCACAACCTTTGCTGCGACAACTGTCACTCACATGTTGCCATGGCTCTGAATCTGATGCGATATGAAAACAGCACCTCGTGGAACATGGTCAAACTCTGCCTCCTCGCACTGATTCATGGAAAACATGTCAGGTAAAATAGGTCACATGTCCAGTCTTTGGAAAGACTGCTCGCTGGGGTTAGACTGTGATATGTATTACAGAGAACAACAATAACGTTCCAACTGCAGCAGAGATGGTTGAGTAGTGGTGCAAGGTCGTGTGAATCAGACTCTAAACATCAATCTTAAAAATGTTTACAGGTAGCGAGAAGGGATCCCACTGGAATTATACTGTTGATCTCATTGTCAACCAAAACAGGCATGACCCCATACACCTAGTTAAAAATTACATTAACATTAATTTCAAAACATGACAGATGACAGCTTTAATTCTGCAAGTGGTTCCTGTAAAAAAGGAATAACTTAAAATAATTATATTTTTCATGGAGAAACATGTAAGTCTGAATGCTGCGTAGCCTGCCGGAGTCTACAGTCCAGGCAGACAGAACTAGGACACTATATTTTTCATTGTTGTGGATCTAATCTAGCCCAGTGGATTTGAAATGAAATGGTTACTGATAACCACAAGGTTCACGTGCTAAAGGATGTTTGAGGATGTTCATGTCCATAGAAGGTAAACAGTGTGGTAACTGTCTCCCCAATTTTTGGACAATGCAGCCGGAAATGTTCTTGGCTGGTTGAATTGGTTACCTGATCTTAGTCCAACTGAACAGGTGGTCCACCTGCTGAAGCACCTGACACAAGCAAGAAGAGAAAAATGGCTGCTGCACGGGCCTGGCAGAGCATTGTTAGGAAAAGTACCTGCTCATGTCTCTGTGTTGTGGACTTTCACACAGAAAACACCGTCAAAGGAGGCTGAAACCCCGTATCAGCTCGACTCGCCTTTTTTTGGTTTTCCATTGTGGAAAAGTTGTACCTGAGATTCCAAGCAAGCTGAGGCGATACTAAAATGTGACGTGAAAACACAGCAGACTGCTGATTGGTCAGAGAGAATCGTCACTATTCACTGCATCATCATTGCGCGTGCCAGACCGAGGCCAGCAGCAGAAAGTTTTATATATTACAGTTTTCATCACTAAATCTACTTCTGAGAAGTTTTGAGGTGAGAAATCAACTGTGTAGATTTCAAATATTGACAGTTTTACGAAAAGTGATGGTAGAACAAAAATGTGCTTGAAAGTTTTCGGAGTTGAGGAGCCCCGCAACTGGCGGCAGGGGGAAGCCTGCTCACAAGGCCGGGCCAGCCGTCCGCTCACACAGACCGCTGCAGCAACAACAGCAGAGGAAAACGCAGCTGGAAGGTTTTCATACCGCTTATCTGTCTTTTCTGAGGAATGTTGAAACGTTTTAACTTAAATCAAGAGACAGCTGCATGTTGGTCCCTGGTGCGTGTGTCGCATTGAATATTACGTTGCGGCAGTTGCGGCGTCGCAATGACAACCAGCTACATTGAGGGGTACTACCTCTGGGAACTATCTGCAATGGAAAACGGAGCACGGCCAAACTGAGTCGCGTAGAGTCGAAGTGAGTTGAGCTGGTACTGGTAATGGAAAAACGTCAGAGTCAGCACTTCAAACTTGTAGTCATTGTTTGATTTCAAATCTATTGCGCAACACAAACATGAAAAATACCATCTGGCTACACTGTGAAGTAATTTTCTCATGTAGCATAAACTGTATATATAACAGTCTTGAAATAATGAGGATAAGCACGCTGGTACACACAGTGCAGCACAGTTATCCTGGACAGCATGTCATGTAATATTTTGGCTTTGGCACAGAAAATAGGCAATTTGTATCTTCTGACCAGAAATCTCAGCATTTTTTTTCCCCTTAAAGGCCCAAACTAGTGTCTAACTTATAATCTATAGCTGCTTTGTTCAAAGCCACCATAAGAAGTAGGGCTGAAGCTTGTGAATGAGGTTCCTCACTGGGATCCCAGGGGCTCAGGCATGATTTCACTGCCTTGAAACCTGTTGTGTCTCAGGACAAGAGAGAGCGAGAGAGGCCTGATTCTTGGGTGAGTATTAAGAGTGCATATAGGACATTCCTCCAGAAGCCGTTTGAATGCTATCTAAGGAAGGTTATAATCAAGGGCAGCTGGACTAGGTTGAAGATACTCGGGATGTTACTGGGATAGACTGCACATTCCAGTGAGACTCTGTTGATATTTGGAAAGTAAGGAGTTGATTAGACGAGAGAATTTAAACCACTACAGTCACTTCCCACTCTAGCCACTTGTGTACAGGGGCCACTGTATCAGTAGAGTTCAAGCTCAAGTCTTCTACAGACTGCCCGGGACTAAAGAGAAGAGGCGACATGAAGAGATACTTTCAAAGGTCTGTCTAACACTAACAAATCAGGCAAGCATGTCGACCCACATTTTTGCACTAGGAACCTCACTTTCTAGTCGCATTTCAACGTCCACACACTGTCTGGTACATTGATAAAATCATTGTTCACTCTGAATCCTTCACAACAGCTACTTGTTTCGCAGGGCTAAATGGGGTTGCAATAAAAAAGGAAACTGGTTACCGCAAGTGCAGGGTTACTGATGATTCATGCCTTGTCTTCAGCAGAACATTATCAGGACTGTGGGTGGGAAGGAAATCATACATAAATTCGATTACCCCCCCCCACACACACACCTCACCACGTCCATGCTCTTCTCCTCACCTTCATTTTTCACTTTTCTTTCTCTCTTCTACTGTCTGTGGGTGTTCTCTGCCTGATCCAGCTGTGTGGGCTTTCTGAAGACCTGGCTGCCTTTCCTGATGCTGATGGGCATCATCCTTACAGTGGCCCTGGCCCTCAACCTGCGGTGACCTGGGGGGCCGGTTAAGGACACAGTGGAACCCCTGCAGGGTCGGATGTGGGGTTGACCTTTTTAGACAACAAGCGGGGGGCATCACACGGTGTCGAGCGAAAAGTAACGGAGGAGACAAAGACGGCTCGCCTGCAAGAGAAGATCGTTGAACAGGAATGTCCACCGCATGTACGCCAACACATGCTTGGTTTGTGTAAAGCAGGAAGCCTGTTACTGGCTTTGCCCCAGTGGTGGAGCTGGAATGCCCTAATGATGGAAATTAATTTATATTCAGTCATTTATTTTTAAAGAAGTGATTGGACACCCCACCACCACCAAAAACTACCAGAACCGCACAAACACTTACTGGATTAAGATTATTGAAAGCCTAACAGCAGGTTTAAGCCATCGGCACCTGCAAAAGTGTAGAAGTTGTGTATGTAGCTATATTAGTAGCTATAATAGTTGAGTAGAGGTACATACTTTGTAATGCACTGGGAGTGTATTCCCATGATTCAATGCTTCCACAATGCCATTTTTATACTAGGGAGCACAAACATGTTAAATCAATTAGACGCCTTTCTAGGGAATTTATTGCTTCATGCTTGATCTAATGTAGCTCTTCTACAGCACTGCAACTTAAAACCTAAATATGGCAGAGCGGGTTGTATTTCTGTGCATTTTCTTACTTGTATTCAGTCTAACTCCATAGCATATCAAAAAGCCTGCATCTTCTAAAAAGAAAATATTTTCTTAGAGATACGTTGTACGTGCATTACATGCATCACCTCATGGTACTAATTTCGTAGGTTTTACGATAAATGTTTTCATACCTTTGTAACTACAGATCATCAGTGCAATGATTGTAGCAACCTCAACGAATGTGTCTGTGTAAAATACCTAGAGAAGCCAACAGTATAGTAAAGCTCTTTTTGGTTTTCTATACTTCTGCCAAATGTAAGGGAAAGGGAGACCAAGTCAAACTGTGTCCTTAAATATCTAACAGCTCGCTCATTGGTGACGAAAGCCTGTTGATGTCATGAGTTATGAAACCTGGTCTGATCTTTTTTGTTTTAATCTGAGAGACGTTTGACTTGACGGGAAGAAGTTAGTCAGTGCCTAAAAAATATATACCTCTTAGATCCCTTATGTTTTATATTTTCATTTTTAGCGTTACTTTTGCCGCCTTTAAAAAACAAAAAAAAACTTGCATTCCACATGATGGTTGGCACTCAAAATCCGTTGCCATGGCTGTCGTGAGTAGATTCAAATCCCCTCATTGTTTGTAATCAAACAGGAGGAGGGGGAAAAAAAGCGTTGAGCCCTCTCTTTGTCTGCGGTGCTGCCAGAAGCAGCAGGTAGCCAGGATCCTCAGGTTTTTCACACTCACCAACCCCTACTGAATATCCCCACTTTCACCCAGCGTCACTCCTGCTGGTTACCACCTCTGCAGATCAGATTCGAAGGTCATTGTGAAATGTCAGCGCTGTTTCACAAAAGCTTTGATATATGCAGGCCAACATCCTGCAGTAATCCAAAGTAGATGTCATTTCAGTGTGAGCTTGTAAATTAAACTCAATTAGATTTTCTGTGTGAAGGGTTTAACACTAGGGCTACCACTGTGCCACTTTTCTAGACTTGGCTCTCCTCAGTGGGCTTCTGTTAAGAGCAGATATTCTGTGGCCTCTTGAGTGTATTTCACCCATGTTGCCTGTAAATATATGATCACACATTATACTGTACACCAGGTGCTCTTTATGGACTTTGCAAACTTGATCACTCATTCTACAGATTTATCCTTTCAGTAATGTATCTTTTTGTTCTCTCCTCCTCTTCTGCATATCATCTCTGCTCAGCTATGAAGCAGGTTTGTGCCTGAATGTGTGTGTGTGATCCTGCACGCCAACTTGTGTGTATTGCATGCTTGCAAGAATGCAAGTGTTTTAGAAAGAAGTTCATATTTGACTCTTACTGTGGCTTCTCGATTAATAATCGGCTGCATTTCATTGCAGCCAACTGCTTGGTGATTGATTTTCTATATTTATTGCTCCATATCTTTCTCTTAATCTCTTTCAAAAATTTTATGTGATTGCTGGTAAACCTTAGCAAGAATAAATTATACTCTAACAGGCCTGCTTCAGTTAATGTTGTTTTGATGGAATAGCCTGCACTGTGCCGTGTGTAGCTGCAGATTCTGTAGATTAGAGATTCAGAGTCACATTCTGAACTTATTAAAATGAGGAAACGGAAAGAAATGGAGAATCTGCCCTCAATCTGAACAGTTGATGGTGTCGACATAAAAACAACCTTTTTACTGTGACTTTTTTTTTTTTAAAGACATGTCACTAGTAATTAATGTGAAGCGGTATAATCGCCTTTTATTGTAAATACAACTTTATTCCCCGAATACTCAAATTTTTATATTTTTATTATCAGGAAATAAAGATTTAGGACTTTGGGTGGAAGTTATCAGACTGATAGCCCTGCGTTCCAAGGGGTGTGACTAAAAGTGTAAGGTGTTTCAAAAAAGAAATCTGGAAATAATGCTCATTATCAGATTAGAATAACATTTTACATCTGAAAATCTCTGGTTCTCTGGAATTGTGCTAAATGATAGAAAATGGTAGAGAAACTGCATCCGTGGATATGTAACTTGTTGTCTTTAGCGAAACAGCTCATTCATTACATTTCGAGCTGTGAAAGGTAATGAGTGAATGGCCCAACATTGTCATTATTACTGCTTTTACACATAAATATATATGTATGTTTTAGGAAGAGAGAGATAATACACCACTCCCATATTAGAGTGCATGTGCAAGAATGCAATATTGAGTGGAAATCATTTGAATGGTTTTAGATGTGGCCTGCTGCAGTGCCTTGCTGTATCCAAGAGCCAGGTCCAGGAATGTGGAGACCTGTGGTCCTAGCGATTCAGTCCATTGACAAAAGACAGTTGGGATGCTATTATTAGTGCCACTATCCATATATACTTATACCAGTCTGCAATTTCAACCCCCCTTTTGTTTCTCCCAAAAGATCTTTTCTGCTGCAGATCATATAGCCGATGGGGAAATGTAAGACTCCTGTAAGTGACTGTGTCAACTCTGAATGTGTTTATGACTTACAGGTATAATACAAATAAAGATGTCTATTATTGTAGAAATTTGTGGGAGTGTTTTTTTTTTTTTTTAAACTTATTACTACTAATTATTTAATCATGACAACTGTGTTTCAAGGCTGTCAGCAGCAGGGATGGCTCTCTGAACCATGAAAGGGAAAATCACCACAGTGATTCCTGTAAAAATCATTATAAGCTGTCAGAATAAACATTAAGCAAGGGAAGCCATCACAGCTTTGATAGTCTACTATCAAGTGGCTAAAAGTCCCACTCAGTGGCAGTTATCCTGCAGAGCCAGTAAAGGGAATCAAAGGCTTGGAAGTTTGGCCCCCAAACACCCCTCCCCCAGTTTTACCATACCACCTGGGTAGGTGGGAATGACCCGGGACATCAAATTGACCAACTAAATAGTAAGAACATGGCAAAGTCATTGCATTTAACAGCAATTCTCGTAAAATAAACATCCTCTATAAACTCAAATTACAGTAATAAAAGAAGGCAGTGACTGATTCCTGACAAGATGCTGTTATACAGAAAGAAAACATGCTCCAGTGGGACTTTTATTACGGTAAACATGAAGAGAAGGAGAACTGAAAGCCCAAACACGTTCTCCTCCTCATCCATCTCTCCTGCCAGTGGTGTCTACTGGAGGCAGACAGGAAGATCTCGTGGATCCGGACGGGGGTGAGGGCAGGAGAGAAGCCCCTCCCCGCAGATCAACCTACCAGATGATGGTCCTTTTAACTTCATTGTTGCAGAAGAAGCGACGCCCCGCTTTGCAACGGCTAAGGATCAAACACCCTCTTCTGATCAGCACGACCCCCGGTTTTGTTCTCATGGAAATCAGACCCTGCCTCCCGGCCACACTTTCTGCAGAGATGCGAAGCTGAATCGCATTCCCAGCCGGGGCAGCAGATGATAATGATGTCTCGGAGCTGATCGTTTCGGTATCCGTTTTCTGTACGTTTCTTTTCCGTTGTTGCTCGCCACTCTCGGACTTCACACTTCCCTCCCAACATGCTGGATTTGGCACGGCGCATTGTTTTCTGCGCGCTGCTCGGCTCCGTTTACGCGTCGTGCCCTCAGCACTGCGAGTGCTCAGAGGCGGCTCACACCGTGAAGTGCGTCTCCAGAGATCTGCGGAGTATCCCGACTGGGATCCCCGGATACACCAGGAACCTGTTCATAACTGGGAATCAAATCGGTCGTATCGGTCCGGAGTGCTTTAAAGGACTGGATAATGTGACCAACCTGTCTCTGAGCAATAACAGGTAAGACTCCCCCGGTGACTTCTGTGCCTTTTTGTAATTATTGTAATGTAACCAAAGTAGTTCCTCTCAATAGCAGAACACTGTTTTTTTAGTCATCAGTTGGTCCTCATTGCTCTTGAAATATAGCTAAGCTAAGCAGATTTGATGAATTTGGTTGTATGACACTGAGAGGGGGGGGGGGGGGGGTGTAGGCTTTCAAGGTGTATTCAATTGACAACCATATTCTATTTTAGTTTAGTTTAGATCCAAAATAAATCAGAAGCATGCACTCTTTTTTCACTTCCTTACTCTTGTTTGTGATTTGAAAGTGAGAATGATATCTGATGGATCTCCTCAAATCCAGAATTTACGAGGTGGAATCCCATACCTTTGCCGGACTCCGCAGCCTTCGCTCTCTGGATCTGAGCAACAACCAGCTGGCGGTCATTCACCCCGAGGCCTTCACAGTGCAGAACCAGTCTCTGCGGGAACTCAACCTGAGCCGAGCCCTCTACAACCACTCGTCAGTGATGGACTTGGCCACCTCTCTCCGCTGGAGCTCCCTGGGGACCCTGAAGGGACTGGACCTTTCTGACAACAGCCTGATCTTTTTGCCCTCGCGGATCTTCTCCCACCTAACCAGCCTGCGGCGGCTCCATCTTTCCAACAACTCCCTGGTGGCCATCCACAATTCTACCTTCTCGGGTTTGGAGCACCTGGAGGAGCTTGACCTGACCCTCAACGCCTTCAAGACGGTCCCAGAGGAGGGCCTGCGAGAGCTGGACTCCCTGCCCAGCGCTTCTCTTCTGCTGGGGGAAAACCCGTTCACATGCAAGTGTGGAATCGAACCTTTTGCCCTGTGGCTCAACAGATCACAGGGACGCATTAGAGACGCTGAGGGCCTTGTGTGCTCCTTCCCAGCCAGGATGAGAAACACATCCCTGCTTGCTGTGGGCACGTTGACGCTGGGGTGCCACCAGAGGAATGCAGGGGCTGACCTTGCTCTGCAGACCTCTTACGTCTTCTTGGGTATAGTCCTTGGCTTCGTAGGCCTCATCTTCCTTTTTGTACTTTATCTCAACCGCAGGGGGATCAAGAAGCGGGTCTATGACATGCGTGACGCCTGCAGGGAGGTGTGGGAGGGCTACCACTATCGCTTCGAGATCGACTCTGGTCCCAGGTTATCACAGGTCTCCACGAGCGCTGACATGTGAGAGGACAATCACCCCTGGTGTATTTTCTAATGAAGCACACTCTTTTCTAATGCATTTATCAGTAGCGAAATGTAAAAACTGTACAGATTTGTCTGTAAATATATACATATAATAGTGCTAATAATGCCTTGTTGATGAAAGCATGCACTGCCTATCTTTCCTCATTACACCACCAGTACTCTCTTTTAAGCGTATCTTAGATTCGTTGTGAACTTTGTTGAGTCAACTGAACATGAATGTTGTATAGGGAGTTCAGTGATTGGCATTTCTTATGTCCTTGCATGCTCCACACAAAAACAGTGGGCTGAAGGAACCTTTTAGTTCCTTGAAAAGAGATCTGGGGACTTAAAAGTCCTTCTGGTCAAAAAGCGGCTAAAAGCAACAGCAAGTGCCTGAAGTCAGCTATGTATTGTTTTCAAATCAATAGTGATCTGAACTGAACTCACCCTCTGCATGGCACATTTCATTAATGATTCTGCATCAGATCTTGTCTTCATGTTTAGCTTGTGATAAAGCAACAGAAACTACAAAAACAAACCTCTGGGACTTTAAAGCACAACTGCAAATTCATCTTTGAACCATTTCAAGCCCTTTGGTCTCTCTGTCCTTCAGCCCCAGGGTGCCAGAGAGGAATTAAGCCTCCAAAGCTCTCCTAGAGTCACCACTCTGCTCCTCTTTGGCTGTTGGATTGGAAGGGGGAGGGGAGGGGAGGGGAGGGGAGGGGGGACAATTCAGTGCAGACTAGCGGAAATCTCCTAGCCCCCTCATTTTTTTTTTTCATGAAACGCTGCTTTGTTTCAACTCCTTGAGTTTTATTGTCAAAATGATGAGAACCAGTCCCGAGCTGAGGCTGCTGAAAGCAATCTCCCTCCCTACTTAAAGACAACAGCCGCTCTGAAGGCTCTTTGAAGGAAGAGATTGGCTCGCCACGTTTTTCTGTTTAGGGGATTTTTTCCAATGATAACATACAGATGATTCTGAAACACCAGCTACATTGTTTCATTTAGCAGTTTGCACTGACCAGTTAAGGAGTGAGCAAAGAAAGAAGAGGATGTACTTAACCCTTTGGTGTTACAATATGTGTCAAGATAAGAAAAGTTTCCTTTTAGTGGAACTTGTTTTCTGAGAGCAATTCCATAAATAATACTGAAATCAAGTGGTGTATGTCAGAACATTTATTTCTCAGTCAAATCCCAAGCCTTAGATTTTACATGCATGTTTAAATTGAATCAAAGTACCTTACTGCGCATGTATCCCAAAGACAACATGTTAGTCTTCTCAAATGTCATGTTCCTCAAAAGTGTTTTTCTCTGTGGCCTTTCGATGCCACAAAGTGAGACAAACACAGACAGAAAAAGGGGGTGGCAAGCTGCTATTATTCAAAGTGTTTATTGCTCTAATTGCTAGCTATCAAGGTATTAGAATGCCTGGAGTTAGCTCAAACAGCCTCCCATTGTTAGAAGCCAAAGCAGCATCTTCATCCTATCAAGATGTTCTCCAAACCCCTCTGCTAGCGATCCAGAAATGTTTATAACATGGAGTCATTTACTGCATGTGAAATGGCTAAATAAAGCTTTAGAATGTCACAATCTCTGTGTACTCATTAAGTGTTAATCTAATCTTCAGCAGAAATGAATGTGTTCATAATCTTTGGGCTAAACTCTTGGTATCATCTCTCTGCGCTGCATTTACTCGCTGAGGAGAAAACAATTGAGGCTGTGCGCTGACACAAAGGGTGACTCGGATGGCGAGACGCCTGAAACAAGCTTTGTTTTCCAGCGGAAAAAGATGCCTTGTGATACTCATTCTCTTTCTGTTTTCACAGACGGCCATTATGCTGCCGCGTAATAGGATTCGGTCATGATGACAAAGTTGAGCACTCTGATCCAGCTATTGTTGAAGTGTCATCATTCTTAATAATTGGCCTGTGGGAGAAAAACCCGGGAGCTTTCATTTGCTATTACACCAAGTGTCACAACCGGGGCATTAAGCTGGCCACAGGTCATTGGTGTCACTTGGCGGGGCAGAAAGAGAAAGATTACTCCCTGCGCGTCATGACTTCCGTTTTCACTCATTAAAGTGCGGATTAGGAGCCATGCCTTTTCTTTTTTGTCTTTTTATGAGTCTGGTTGTTTAAAAAAAAAGGTCTGTTTGCGATAGGCTATGCAAGATTGTCTCAGCAGGAATGCATTGAAAAGAGACATTCTCCATTACTCACAGTGCAAAAGAGAGGCTTGTTAAAAGCAGAAACATTGCTCCAATTACAGAGTTCTTTCAGACTGTATGTTGCATATATCTGATTAAAAGATCACATCTTTATTTCCACTTTGCTTGCCTTGTCTTGTATTTCCACAAGCCGTCTGTTACACCACTGTGGTTTCTTTTGAGGAAGCAGTTTAAAAAAACTTTAACAGCTTTATGTTGCTGTGTATGCAGCATATGGTTCTTGCTATTGCAAAAGGCTAAATACACATTTAAAGTATTTCTTTCTGTTTCAAGAATGTTTCTCTGGAGCACAGCAGGCCTTTTATTTTATACGCCTCCTGTCTCCGAGAACATCTTGGCACCATTACATGGGCTTAATGGTCATGATAGGGAATATGCCTTAAAAGTGAAGACCACATCTGTGAGGAATTGAACATGTTGAAAAGAGACCACAACAGTCAGCAGCATGACGACAGAGACAAAGTGGCATCTACCCCCCTCCACTGGCATGGTTTGACACATGTCAGCGTTTACATTTGCCATCACCAAATACTTGCACAGTCATCTGATATGTTCTGCTTCACATTTGGTTTCCCACTTACACAACCAAACCATGCACGGGACAGTGAAACAAAGTCTAGTGTCCCTTCTCTTCCTTTTTCTTTTTTTAATTTTTAAAGAACATCTTTGTGATGTGAGATCAATGAATTCATTCGCCCAGCTTCCTGTGTGTCGCCTATCCATCATTTCCAACAAGTCTGGTCAGTGAAGATGGAGACTAAAACACAGAGGTGGTTCCAGAGGGGTTTTGCCCATTGTTCTGCTGCTCACTTGATATTGAATTGATTGTGTTTGCCAGAGGATGCAAGCAAAGAGGAATTGGTGCAGCTGGCCCAGCTACCCATTAAAGCTAACTGGCTCCCCCATTTATCACTTTCATAAAGGCTGGAGCTGACAAGCAGTTAAACACACATATAGCATACAGTACATGCACACACACCTAAATTGTATAATTTTTTTAAAACTGTATTCAGATAGTCTCTCTTCTATATATCTAAATATCCACCTGAAATCAGTATACTTATTAGGTCAAAATTGTAATTACCCAAAAATAATCCCATGGGACCTTATTTCCAAAAAAGTATGGTAGCCTAGTCAACGGCTAGAGACTACTTACTTTTTAAAAATCTCGTTTGAACTGTACCCTGAATTACACTATGCTGTTTTTCAGTAATATTTATTTTTTTATTATGCAAAACCGCTCAGCGAACTTTGTCTCTCCTCTGGCCAAATATACATCACCAACATGTTAATACAAATGTATCTCACCTGATATGTTTAATCCAAATACTCGAGACACATTGAAATCTGATTGCTCAGACCATGGTCTATTGCCACATTCTTTCAGCAGTGTGTAGCCTATAGAATGTGTCCTGGGCAAGTGGCTAGCTTCAGGGCCATAGACATAAGAAATGGACGTAGTTATAGTGACGTCACCCGCTGGTTTGTGGACTGCGATTTTGAAGGACGAGTCTGGCTGATGGGGCGCCGGGCGCCGCCATGTTGATTTTTCGCCGTCGATTTGACGCCGAAGTATAAATTGCACTTTAGCTAGGTGCATCTGTAATTCACGTTAACTGTCATTTTAACAGGGCTGACAACTTTGTCCAGCGAACACCAGGCTTAAAACTAAATGTACTCACCAGAGAAAGTGAACAGCCAACTCCTAATAAGCTTTTTCAACGGCGCTGGTTAAATTTACACAGTGCCGTGGTTAGGAGTCACTCTAGCCTGATTGACAGGTCGCCATGGTAAGGACTTGTCAATCATAGATAATCCCGCCCTGAAGCATACTCTGCTTTATGGTCTATTTTCCTCTAAATGGGACCATAATTTACTGAGTGAACATCATGTTGTATTGAAGAAGACTTGAAACTAGCGATTGAGACCATGAACTCATTATGAAAGTGTTTACTGAGGTAATTATTCAGCTGAGAAGTAGGGTCATTTTACCATTATTTCTAATGGGGCCAGACTTCTTTTTGCAACCAGAAGAGCTGCCCGCTGCTGGCCGTTAAATAGAATGCAGGTTTCAGGGACTTCTGCGTTCGCATCAGATCGCTGACCGGAAGCTTCCCGCTTGTCCAGGGCTGAAAACTAAAGCCAATCTGGAAGTGCCAAAAACTGCATTTTCTCGAATGGCCACGTCAGGCTGGCTCCAGAAGTGAGCTGTCTGCTGTCTGCCAGCCGTCACGTCAGCTAATTTAAGTCACTGAACTTGACCTCGCAGCCTCGCTTGTGCCTTTTGGAGATTTGTTAATGCAAATATCGGATGAATAATATGGCTTGCTGTGTGGTTAATTGTACTAACTCTAACGAAATTCTATATTCAATAATTAGCAGGTATCAGTGTCTGCCCTCACCGTACATGGCTTGTTTGCTTAGCTCGGTTACAAGCTGATTAGCCAGCTTCAGTTGTAACTGAGCAGGACAGGAGAAAAGTGTTGAAAGGGAGAGAGTTAAGGTGAGTGTGCTGTTCTGTGGGGAGCGGCGCTTTTCTGGCTGCATGTATTTTCATCTTTCTCTCATGTGGAACGTGTGACGGCCCCTGCTTACTCTGCTTGTGTCTTTGCTTTGAGGTGCCAGAGGAGCTGATTGCAGTATCCAACCAGATGTGGATCGCCTTGGCCCCGTGCTCTACAGCAGCGGCCCCCAAACATTTCACTTCTACATATTGACCGGGTTGCTGCAACCCAGCCAATATTACTGAAGGTGCAATAAAGATCAAAATATGATCTGTTTCTATGATGACAATCAGCGCAGAGTCCGTGTTACACCAGTGAACATGCCCGAAGTCACCGCTACGGGGTTTCACTCAACGACATGAAAGTGACAGCTTTTAAATCAATCGCTCTCCACTTACCCACTCACTGCGCTCAAACACAGCATGCATCTTCTTTTTTCACTGCAACTCTGCATCGCGATGTAATGTTAGATATTTTTTACTTTAAAAAGTAACAGTGGCAGTAAAACTTTTTGTCAGACTGGTTAAACTTTGCAATGCGGAGCAGGGATGGGTTGGAGGGTGGGAGTGTAGGGATGAGGAGGAGCAGAGGTGGTAACGGTGTATAGCAACAGATGTTATTTTTACATTCACCGTGACTGCCAGGGCTTATGTTTAGGCATAACAAATTGGGTCCTAAAGGCCAAATTCAAAATCTGTGACACTGCCAAGCAGTTCACTGCATTTGTATGTGGTCCTTAAGGCAATTAGCTACTGTACTTACAAACATATAATTTCCCCTAGGGAGCTGGAGGAAGCTGGTGCAGGTCCACCTTCATCATGTTGACCAGCTTGATGCTTCTGTCATCCACCACAGTGGACGATGAGGACATCTGGTGCTGCTCTTCCTTACAGGGGGTGGGACAAGAAGGGGAAAATGTTTTTCCAACGCAGTCCATCCCAGCCAAACAGATATCCGGCACACTGAGGTTGCTTCCCAAGGTTTCTGTAGCTCTCTGGGCACCCCACCAGACTGTGACGCTGGAAGGAAAAGAAATGAGTGTAATAAATGTTTCAGGTATTGAAAAGTTAACTATAAAGGGTGGCTCAGTTTTTATGTTGACAATAGTATCATGTCACATCTGTGGGAGAAAATGGAGTTTGTATTTTCATTGTCAGCTGTCTAAAGTCAATTACAGTTAATGCCGTTTGGCTGTAACCTCAACAAGAACCAATCACTGAAATCTAAAAAAAATCTAAATTGAGGTTAATTGATTTGCTTTAAATTGTTCTTTAGACTTTAGACGAAGTAAACGCTACGCTGATTACACGGTCACGGGCCACATATCTGCAAGTCTCAACAAAATCCAGTGTTGAAAATGATCACAATTGTATTTTTAAGAAGCTATTTACATCTTGTGTAGTATAATCTCAACAACAGATCCTGAAATGTGTCATTACAGTTTAAATTTCATCTGACAAAAAGTGTGGAGAAGTTTAATAAAACTCAAGATACAAATGGATTTGATTTGCCTGTAATTGTATAATCTTTCAGTCCCACTTGGGTTTGAGTTTGTACAACATGTGTGTGTTCACATGTCATATTTGGATTCTTTATGCTCTTGAAATTTAAACAAAAACCTCTTGGTGCATGACCGCAATGGATCCCCAGACCCGTGGAAAATGAGAAACAAATGCTCTCAACAAAGTCCTCTCTAGTATGAAAGAAAGGCTCATGTAAAACACTCCACCGCAACAATGCAGCTTCCCTCTGAAGTCTTCATGACTGTCTCCATTGATCTCTGAATTGACTACAACTGTAAACGGAGCAACAGCACGGCTGTGTCAGGCTTTATAGCCCCTCCCCCCTGATTTCCCCTACTCTGGGCCTCAGAGCTGAGAGTGTCCTAAATCCTTGTTGTGGGCTCCGCTGTCCTCCAGCTGGCCACGAATCAGTCTCTCGATCCATGCGGCTTGTCAGAAGTTTGTTGTTGCTGTGGTTGTTTATAGGAGGATGAGGTTAGGGAGTTTTCAATTATAAAGACACATTTCCAAGTGTCCCATCCTGCCTCATTCTCTCAAACTCTGACTGAGACCCCAAAGCTGATGCTGACTTCACGCACTCGGTAACACAACACAGTATGAAGATGAATGATTCAATATGACTCATTAAAGAGTCTCTCTGGTCCGCTCAGATAAAAAGGAATAAGGCTGGTGTTGCTGGCTGATTACAAAGGGCCGTGACCCGTTTAAAAGAAAGGACAAGACACTCACAACTCCTGCACTACTTCATCATCTGCTTCATGCGTCTATGAGTTGGGTTGGAATTAAGCTGATACAATAGTCTGGCACTTGGGATCAAATGCGCCTTCGGTAGACTCAAAAGAATTCATCCACAATGACTTAATGTATTGCTATGTCCCCCCCCCCCACTTTCCAGTTACAGTAGTAGACATTTTATGAGAATAAAGCTGCAGTAATCAGTATTTTTGTATGTACAATTGATCGAATGCGTGTCAAAGTGAATGGACACTATTTTCCAAATGTCTTACTTTTAATGTGAAGATGAAAATCAAATTATCATCACTGTCTTGTTGCTTTCTCCAAGACACAAATTCAATGCACTGCAGAAGTTTTCCTGGGTGTATGCATGTATGTATATATGAATATAAATGACTGTATATAGTTTTATTTATTTTATATATTTACCGTATTCTAATATGCATTTAATTATCTGTTAAGTTCTATTTGTGTAGCATGAAGGGACTACAAACTTTCATTTTGCTGTACCACCTTGTAGTGTATAATGATAAACTACCTGAATGTGAAAATTGTTGCCCGCAGTAATGAACCCACGAAGAACTATCGACCAACTCTGCAGTTGCCCCTTAGTAACACAGAGTATTTTAACATCTTTCAGCTAATTGTTTTCTGGCCTGCAAATAGACTACTTTGGTATAGACTCGTCACTCTCATTAACTCTGTTAAATCTGTTTTCAGCAAAATAAATTCACTGTACGCCAAATTGCAGATAGTCAGCTGGCGACTAGCTTTTGAATGTATTGGACTGACAAATTTCAGGGGGATCGAAACATGATAACAAATAAGTGCTAATGTCGCTCTGTTGTCTCTGGATGTTCAAACAGCTATAAATGCTAGCCAAAATGATTAGCTTGATAAAGATAATCTATTAACATATCTGTCAAAGCATTCTTACTTCACAGCATTTTTCCTCACCTGCCTAAAACTTTTGCAAAGTACTGCATGTTATCAAAACCAATAGAAATGATGACCAAAACTACCATAATAAGACCAAAGTTGCAAACAACTTCAGTGAGCCTTTAACGTTAGCTTCAGAACGATGTTTGTTGTAAAATGTGCAGCCTCTCTGGTGATGAATCCTCGAGCTGCTCGTGGAATGTGTCGGGTGTGAACTCTCCATAGGTAGTTTGACCTCTCGCCTTCCTGGTGGGAAGAGACTTAAGCTCATTATTATTACCTTCATTACTGCAAATGCTGGACCAGATGCCGGAGCGTGAGGGGGCCCAGTGCACCCAACAGAGACCTGAGGCACTCGATTGGTCAGAAGGAGAAGAACGGTTCCCGAAGCCAAAGGGTAGATTGTTCCGGAGAGGAGACACCATCTGCTGACGGTCTCTCTCTGACTTTACATCATCTTGCTACATTAAGGACTTTGAGGAGAAGATGCTGCTCGCTTTGGATGAGGTTACAAAACTCCACCAGCACAGTTTGTTACCTCGTGCATGATAAAAAAATAATACATCTCTTGCTGTAGTATCAGCTTCAGATGTCGGATATCATGTGGCTCCCTCCCAACAAATTATATAATGCCAGTCAGTGAAACCTGAAATGTTATTTTAGTTGTAAATAAATTGTTTTCATATAAAGTATTTATGAAACCCATGGCCTCATAATCCTGAACAGGCAAGGTACAGTAGGTTGTCCTTCCTTTGAGGACTGCTAGACCTAGAAAAATGTATCAGACAAAGTTAGCAACTAGCCAGTGAGCATTTAGCAGCTGAAGATAGAGACATTTTCCCCAGGAGCTGGTGGACAGCAAAACAGAGCTAAGAAGTGAATGAATACTGGACTTCTCACCAGGTCCAAATGAATGGTAATGTTGCTCTGTATGCGCTGGATGCAGAGATGCTCACAAGTCTTTGAGCTGGAGTCCAAGTCAAGTCTCAAGTCTCTCGTGGTTATTACAAATGCTGTATGACCTGCTGCGTTCAATCCAGGTTGCTAATAAAATTGCATAGCTATAAGGACTTCTGTAACTGTAACCTGCTTTTCATTTACAGAGCACAACCATGTAATGTACAATGCAATTATTGACAGCTTATTAAATACTGTAAGTCAACACACTCCCCAGACTCTTAAACGCAGTGTTAGTTATAACTAAATAAAACTGTAAAGTTACATAGTCAACAATAAAGCTGTAACCTGTTTTTAACTTACAGAGCACAACCATGTAGCCTAATTTATGTGTGTCTACAATTATTGGCAACTTAGAAACTACTGTAAGTCAACAAACCCTGTTGACTCTCAAACCCAGTGTAAGTTATAACTAAATGTAAACTAAACTGTAAAGTTACATAGTCAACAATAAAGCTGTAACCTGTTTTTAACTTACAGAGCACAATGTGCAATGCAATCACTGACAGCTTAAACTACTGTAAGTCAACACATCCTGCAGACTCTCAAACCAGTGTAAGTTAAAACTAAATAAATCTGTAAGGTTAGATGATCAACAATAAACCTGTAACCTCTTTCCAGCCAACGGCAATAATTAAGGTGATGGCAGCCAGCGGGACGTAAATAATTACCTTAATCAACCACCACAAGTTTGGCAAGTAAACAAACGCTCGTTCATCTTTTCATAACGAACGACAGTTGGAGTAAACCTCTCGTAGGTCGTAGCTGAAGCAGGAAGCAAGCTAACGTTAGATGGCCAATGCTGAGCTAAACATGTTCACTCACCACAGGTTACTAACCTATTTGCGTTCTTGGTTTGGGTCTTGTTTTATGAACTTTTAAAGCCAAAGTTTATGATGAATGGCGGAGCGGCTGCCGGTGTTTGTTGTCCTCTCTCACGTGCGGCTGCGCGCGGCAGGTGCTACGTGTTACGTAGGCAGGTTATAGGTAACGGAGGGAGGGAAATAACAGCAAGCTCATCAGACGTTTCCTAAAAAATAAACATTGATCGCGAGTCCCGCACCTCGAGTCCGAGTCGAGTCTTAAGTCTTTTGAGGACGAGTCTCAAGTCGAGTGTGTGCGACTTAAATCGGACTCGTGTCCGAGTCTCAAACTCAAGTCCCCGTCTCTGGCTGGATGAAAGAGTGAGTCAGTCAGTTTATCCAAACTTAAAACCAACAAGAATTCATCATACTGGCAAGCCAAAGCCTGATCTTATTCCTCTGTGCCATAGAGTAATGGTTCTCAGTGGGGTCCTGGAGGGGGCTCCAGGGGGTACCCAGCAAAATACTTTATTTTTAATCTAATTCCATCCAGGAAACACAATGACTGAATGTGTGACTTGAATGTATGATAGGCTACACTTTACGTAATAAAACATCTAAAAGCAAAGCTGTGGTCTAATTTGTGTCTGTTTAGGGGAAAAAAGTTTGAGAACCACTTCCATTGAGTTCCACTGTGGCCGCACTGCGTGACATGTTCCTTCATTAATATGAACATACACACATGTAGTTTCTTTTTTCTTTAGGGGATCAATAAAGTATTTCTGATTTCTGATTCTGATATCTCATTAACCGTTTATTTGACCCATCCTGTGTCATCAGGAATGTTTTTGCTGATTACAAAGAAGGAATTTCCACTTGCTCATGCGAGTGTTGACAAAGCGTAATGGCACGAATTCAGAAAGGAGGAAACTGCTCCTGAAAAAAAGAAATTCCTCTGCCTTTCCTTTGACAGGAAATTGTGTCTTTGATCTAAGCCACCACACTCATCTGGTCATCGCATGCGAGGTGTCACTCCTTCCTGCGGCGGAGGAGCGAGGAAATTTGCACCCGCAGCTCTGGCTCATACGTTGGCTCCAGCACCTAAAAGATGAAAAATAAGATTTTAATGGGCTTAAGAAGTGCGCCCGATGAAGGCATACAGCACTGGGGAAAGTAGGACAGAGTGACGGATTCATTTGTCGTCCACTTGCATCATGCTTCTTCTGGCAGCAAGGGAGTGTCACTAATGAACACTATTGACCAAGCACAGTCAGGGGGTGAAGATTCACACCTGCCAGACTACCAGGGAAAGTGTCATTAGTGTATGTGCGTGTGTGGGTTTGTATGTGTGTCACCTACACTGACAGTGTATGGGGTCGTTTTCATGTGGAGCATCCCACATGGTCACAGATCTGTCAAATAGACGCAGGAAGCTGATGATACTACACTCACACGCAAGTATGACATCATGCATTATGCATATCATTTCTAACAGTTGCATCTGAATTCAAACGTAGGCTAGATGGAGATTTCTGATGCAGAGATTGTGCTATTGGTATTAGGCCTACAGTATGTGATTTATTTTCTGCGAACAGAAGGTGAAGGTGTGCTGATCTTGAGGTTTGTCACAGTTCGGCTGGACTGCATTGTTACTGCAGCATGCCGTCTGGGTGCATTCAGCGTCAGGGGGTGCAGGAAGAATCATTAATAATGTTAACAAGGCCTTGAGACTAACATGATCTGTCTCAAGGTCAGGCTGAGATGCACATTGGAGTAATTTCAGCATAGCAATGCCGGCAAGAGCTGGTAACTGTTGTGTGTGTGGGTAAAAAAATATATATTGGTCTATTTCTAGCAAAATAAAGCTTTTCCTCTACAGTTCTTTGCATATAAACCCAGAGCAGAGAAAGGTGGCAGAAAAAAAGTCAACAAAACAAGACTCTTCTCCCAAAGGCTTTGCTCAGACTGCAGGAAAATCTGGTGTGTGATCAGATCAAACCAGATCTTTGAGACAGACTTTACACACTGTTGTGTGTATCAGATCGGAGTTGTGAGTCCAGACATTACCAGCCCACCTGCATGGGTTGGTATGGTAACGACACAGGCTTTCCAAACGCGGAAGGAAGCGTGAGAAATGGAGATCTGTCATCTCCACACACACCCGTGGTCGCAGCAGGATCCCGCTCAGCCGCTCTGATGCACTTCCGTCATTTTTAAAGTGATGCAAAAGACACTTAGTAGGGGCGGCACTGAGACCCATTTGTAAAAAAATTGCGATTGAAATCAAACCACCTCCAAATGTGTGTGTGTGCTTACTGTTTTATTTATGTATTTTAATTTAATATATTATTTTCTATTTCTAATTTCTTTGACAATATTGTTGCTATACATTCATGCCAATAAAGCTAATTTGAATTTGTGTGTGTGTTTTCGCTGTCCAGACTTCCTAAAATCAATCATGCCAAAGAAACGGATTTGGGCTGGCAGCCTGAACATGGCCAAATCACCCGGAAACCACAACTGCAAGCACCTGTAGACAATTAGTTCATTAGGCAGTGATTGGATGCAGGTTGCAATAAATGCGACCTCTCTACTGCACACACATAGTTTCAGGGCTACTGATCCTCTGGCAAACAGAAATGGCTTGTGGAGTTCATTTGGGGTATGTTTTTCCTTTTTGTTGCAGCTTTTCTATATTTTGAGTTTCTGTTAGCTGTCCCATGTTTTCTGACCCTGCTGTGGTGTTTTCTGTGCAGGATCTTGCTGATTTGCTTCATAGATCATGTTTGCTGTTTATGGGCTACAGAAGGTGAGCAAAACCCATGCATCCCTGTAATCTAGTGCTGTGATTTACTTGCTGTGGTTTTATAGCCTACTGTTTCTCTTACAGCTCAGAGCTCCCAGAGTCAAAACGGCAACAGATATGTTGGCATCTCACAACAGGATGTTGGACCAGGAAGACCTGGTGGCAATTATCCCCAGAATCAACTCAGACAGGCCTATGTTTCTCAAGGCTCAGCCCAGAGCAGTAGCCTCAACACAAACACTGCCGTTAGCAGGGGTTATAGCCGGGGACTCTTTAGTAGTGGCTACCCTCAAGCTCTCTCACAGTCAGCTCAAGGTGGCTATGCGTCAGTTGTTCCGGAGCGCAGAGCAGGGTCAAAACCTAACTGGCGAACGAGAAAGCTGAATCGGGTGAAAGTGCCAACATGGCAGTTACCTGGCCTCGCCACTCCTGTTGCTAGTGGGGGTTTTGTAAGTCAGTACAATCGGAACCAGGATAACGTTCTTGATAACAGCAAGAAGAGAACTTGGCCAGTTCAGCATGGTACACCTCGTGCTAGCAAACAGCACCGTAGCTCTGCATCTGCTCAGAGGTCTAGCAAAAGCTACCCTTTCACAATGGCCTCCCACCAGTCTGCAGCACAGAAAGCTCGCAGTGCTTCAGCTAAATCACCAGTGTACAATATTGCGACAGGGTCTTCTAGCCTATTTAGCGCAGGTGCTCTTGCTCCACAGACGCATTCTGTACGGCTGCCGACATCAGGCAGTGCCCCTGCTAGAAGAGTCTCTTCACGTCGTCGCCCTGATTTATCTAAACCCTCCTGTTTCTCACCTTCTCAAAATGAGAGAACTAGAAGTGACCCAAGCCAGACTGAAGCTGCAAAACCATACCAGAGCAGACTGTTTACTGTGAATAGGGGACACGCCCAAGGAAGCTCCAAGTCTACTTCTACGTCCAACATGGCCTATAGCCAGCTCTTTCCAGTGTCTAGCATAGGCAGCGTCCGACCAGGCAGTCTAGAGATGCCCACAAGTCAAAGGTTGAGCTACAAACCCAGCTACGCCTCCAGTGAGCAGATTACCAGCAGTACAGGCTCTCTCCAAGCCTCTTGGAACAGCAGGAACTCTGCCCAGGGAGCTCGTAACCTCCCTGCCTTTCAGCGGTTTGTCCCAACCAAAACCCTCAACATCCCTCAGTGCTTCGGGGGCTACGCAATCAGGCGGCTGAAGAAACCTGACCAGGAGGAAGAGGGTGTCCAGAAGCCACAGCAGACCTACACAGCTCGGTCATGGCGGCCGGCGTCTCCCGAGCCACATGTCCCAAGCAAATTGCTGAGGATAAGGCCATCTTGGACTCTAGCCGGTGAGTATCTAATACTTTCTGGTCCATTTGCTTAAGCCTGGTGTGTGTGTGTGTCTGTATACACTTTTTCTATAATATGTCTTGTTCTTCCAATAGGTGCAGCAGGTCCTTGGCCAACCTATTAATGTTTTGAAATAAAGTTATTAATTTAAATCTTGGTTTGTGTCTTGAATTCACCTCACTAGTAGTGCAGTACTAGTGCCAAAGCATGTGTGCACATTTGTGTAGTCTTGGTGCCATCTAGTGTGTAAAAGACGCATTGCAAAAAATGGTTCTTGCAAACCAGACTGTGTCAAAATGCCCTGTCAATGTAATCCTTTGCAAATGCAAGGACTTAACAACTTGCCGCTCTGGAACAGAATCTTCTGGGAAATCGGACTATCAAAGGTGATTTCACTGGATGCATTGAAATTAAAATGAGAACTCAACATTTAACAACTTAAACAGTTCACTGAATGTAAGCCTCTAGGAGGGGGGGACAGGCAAAGGATGCTGTCTTAAAACCAGCTTTTTTTTTTTCTTGGAAGAAAACCACCTGTCAACTGATGTGTTCAGATTAAATCAGTTCCCATCAGAAGCGCTTGCTACCATGATTACTCTAGTTACTTTGTCCACATTTAAAATGAAAAGGATGTGCCAAGGTACATATTTATCTCTCTGAAAGCACATGAGCAACAGAATACACCTCCATGTAGGAGGTAGAAACAAATGATTGACTTCTCATTTGTGGTCAAAGTAATCTCTTGCACCAGAAGAATATTTCAACTTTGCTCGGACTATCCCTCAAAAGGCATTTTACTTGGAAGATGTGCCTCAAACACAAGTGATCTGGGCTGTGTTGAGGGGAAAGTGACGCGTTTCACTGAACAAAGCCCTCAGTGCGACCTGTCCTGTGGCACTTCGAGTCTTCACACTGAAATTTTGTTAAACCCCTGATTTGATTTCAGAGCTGTTAAACATGTAGGAGCTGCTCCAACATGGGACTGATGGGGGGGGGACCAAAATCTGAGGGTAAGGGATCTCGGAGAATACTGGATCATGCTACATAGTCTGTTTTATTGAATCAAAGTTGTAAATAAATAGGAAGGTACTGCACAGCCCCAAAGTACATGGACACAACTGTAGCTTAAATACTTGGATAAAAATGGTACTGGATGGATGAAATGGACAAAGTAAATACGATCAGTAATACAGCATTATCTTGACATTACTAGGTTACTTGTTTAATGTATGTTTACCAAATAATTCAAATCACAGCGTGGAAACTTCTGCTGATGGTTTGGTCAGTGTGTTCAGTATACTGCTGTGGTGCTGGAGCTTCTTCTCGACTGTCATTCCCTCAGGAAGAGTCCTGCACTGAAACTAAAAACAAGAACTTAATATGTATGATATAGAACTAATAAGATGTTTATGATTTCATAAATATCATCTATGTACAGTATGTAATGTTAACTGGTTTATCACAACTTTCTATTTGGTGACTTCTAACAAACTCATGGACCCCCATTTGACAAGACTTTGTTCCAGGATCACCAATCTGATACGATTTAGGCTTTTAGATTTTTATTAAATTACAGAATGTGTATGAAACCCACGACCAAAATAGTCCGACATTCTGTCATTGTGTTACTCATGGATGGAATTATAGTGAAAATATATTATTTCCCGTTTTGCTGGGGATCCCCTGGAACCCTCTCAAGGACCCCTGGGGGTCCCTGAACCCTAATGTGAGAATAACTGGTCAAACTTACTTAGTCGGCTGAAGCAGCTCTGCTCTATAGGTTGCCCTCCTCGTACTCTTGACTGCTGGGGGAGGTGAGGTGGGGGTGGAGGGTTTTGGGGATCGAATTCCTTCAGTCTGGTGGTTGACATCCACCTCCGGGTGCCTCAGGAGATGCAGGAGTTCTGCCCTGACATAAAACAACCAACTCATGAACATGATGTTATCAAATATCAACATTCAGTATGTAACGTTAACTTACCACAGACTTGTCACTGACTACGTTTGCAGTCTTAATAAAAGGCTTGCTTACTTGTCTCGTGGAATGCCACATGCTCTCCATCGTATCCTTTCTTTTGTCGACCTTCTCATCTGGTCGGGTGTGAGCGTTTCTTCTTCGTCGTCATGGAAACCCAGGATGTACTGTGGAAACGTGCAGTCTCTTCTCTCCAGTGGGCTGCTCCAAGATCCCCAACAGTTACCACGTATTACCACAGGGAGGCACTGCAGGGGTGTTGGTGGTGGAGCGATCGTGGACTGGCGGGAAGACACTCAGCTCCTCTTTCACCTCTCAAGGTATTTGGAGTCAGCCAGTGGCAAAAGCTGGGGGAACATAAAAATACACCAGAGTGAATGATTAACTAAAAGTGAAAATGAGATTTGCAGGAGACGTGTGTTAATGTTGTCATGAGCTATATCCATACCGTATCTGCTGCAGCCTCCTCCACCTCTGTGAAGAAGCATCAAAGTACAACAGAATAAGGAATAAATCTTCTTTGAAAGATTAAATAAGACAGTTTTGTTAATGGTGTTATTAATTATGAGCATACCTCTGCTAGTTACAGCCTTCTGAGTAATGGAATCAAACAAAGAAAGAAGGAATCACACAATTACTTATGAGACTGTTGTTAATGATTTTTGTACCTGTGTCTCATGAAGTGACTTTCACCTCAGTAAATAAAGAGTGAGTAATCTTATTAATAAGTGACATGCAATGAATAAACAGGTAGATCATATGTCATCTGTTTTGTGTGGGGTGTAAATATACTGATATCATACAATTATACTGTAGGCTATATGAGGAGGACAGAAATGAATAGAAAAAGAGGTCTCTACTAAGTTCCACATCTAAAAAGATATCTGTTTTAGCTGAATTCACCACAGTCAAATTTTGCCAAATCAATTCTGTCACATCACATCATATTACAATGACTGGAAGGAGATGATAGAAAGTGTGAACAGACTCTTCTGAGGACCTTGGGTGGTTTAGAAGAGATTATTCTGTGTGAACTGTGTGTTTGCAAGATGATGTCTCACCATCACCCCAATAGTTGACAATAGGCTGTGTAAAGTATTGACATAGCCAACAAGTTTGATGTGCGCAAAACCGCATGCGTAATTACGCACGCCGTTCATGCGGTCACACACACAGTTGCACGACGAACACCTAAAGCACCACTTTTCATTCGAAAGACATTTCACTTCAACAATTCTAGTTCTTTATCCAACGAAAAGTCAGACAACTGCTGGTCCATTTAGCTCCTCCTTCACTCCGGCTCATAACAACATGCGTTTTAATGAATAGTATCTGATAATGAGTTCACAAATGTGATGAACGTTTAACTTAAAAGGACACGGCGCTCAGACAACAGCTGTCAATACATTTAAAACGAGCAAACTCAGCTGTCCACAAAGGGGAAAAGACCCTGGTTTGTTTACACCTGCGCCTTCTGCTCCTAATTTTGTGAGAAATGGCCCAGTCGCCATCTTTTTTTCCCCAAACGTTTGACAGTTACATATGTGTTCCACATTATATGTAACTGATGATTAAATGTAACCTATATAACATTGTTTCTTAAGAGGTGTGATTCTGTGTTGGACAGGAAACCTTACTTTTTAAAAACACTGAGTTTGTCGATGTACTTATCTTTCATGTGTTATAGACATTGTAAAGCCTAGAGTAACTGCAGTCCGATTCTCTTTTCCTAAGTCCTTATGAATATTCCTTCACATCTTTCCTTGACCTCATGATGTTTTCCATAGAGTTCAAGGAAACGTGTTAGGAAAAGACATCATTTTTTTGACTATCTGACTGCAGCCTAGATTTTTTTCGCACAGAGCCCGCGTTTCACCACTTTCACTGGGCGTTTAACCAGCCAGGAAGTGTTCTAATAAAACTTCATGGAAATGCAATAATAATCACTGGAATAATCTTTTTAAAATTAAGTTGAGCCCATGTGATATGGCGGCAGCTCTTGCCACATGTACTTATACCTCACTAGCTCACATTCAAAATATTTACAGCTGCGACATAAAAATGAAAAAATACCTGCAACCAAAGTGAACACATAATACTGTAGATACACTACCTGATGTGAAACACTGAGTCAAAGGAAGCAGATTCATCAGACCTCTTGGCACACAGTGATACAGGGTCGCGGGGGGGCTGAAAGGCGGGGTACACCCTGGACAGGTCGCCAGTCCATCACAGGGCCACACATAGACAAACAACCACTCACGCTCACACCTAAGGACAATTTAGAGTCACCAATTAACCTCTTTGGACTGTGGGAGGAAGCCGGAGCACCCGGAGAGAACATGCAAACTCCACACAGAAAGGCCAGGGCAACCGGGATTTGAACCCACGACCTTCTTGCTGTGAGGCGACAGTGCTAACCACCGCACATACAATCAGTTAATTGATATTGTTCTGATGCAGGGACACGCTGTACTTTGCCGTTCTGACCAGATGAGGGTGCCCTGCCTTCAGAGAAGAAAGAGGAGCCAGCTGAAGAACAAGATGAACACAGATTGTATGTTGGCCACACATTAAAGACTAAATGTATGTTAATAACAAATCATAATAACAGTGCATAGGTTAAGTTCAAATCCTCATAAGTGTGATGTAATAGTCTATTCTATATAGAGCTATGGCCCTTTCCTGCTTTAAATACAATGCTCTGTGATGCAAGACTCATTTTACTACCTATCAAGGCAAATCTTAGCAATCACTGACTGCATCTTATGCTGAAATCAATATTTGAGGATATGGATATTGATGTTCCACTGAATCCCTTACATGCTCTGTAATCAGTGCTGTCAGCACTTCAGTATGTTGGGAGCAAATCTACATGAGAGGGGATGGAGGGATGGTGGCGGGGTGGCTCTGAAAGATTTGTTAGGCGCTTTTTGTTGATGCAATTATAACAGCTCAGGAATCTCTTTAGAGACGTGGAGAATCTCTGGCAGTGTGCGTTTACCACTGGCGGCTATAATTGTTTGTCATGGCTCTTCTAAATATCCATGACAGATGTCTTCAGGCCTCAGCGAGCTTAAGGCGCTAGCATGACTTAAATATAATGCACAGAACCTCGAGGTTGTTTTCCTGGCACCTGTAGCTTAGTATGGAGCCGGAGTGCCGGACAGATGTGGCAGGTAGCAGCTGCAAGATGGAGACACTACAGATTAAGAATTTTCAGAGCCAAGTCCATATATCTTTGTCGCCTCTTACATTTGTTTCTCTACCTTTTTGGTCTAGTTAGTCACTCTCTTGTTCTGACTACTTCGACCCTTGTACAGAAACAATATCCAATAAAAATTTGTGCCTATCAGAGGCCAATTACAAATGGCTAAGAATGTGTCTTTTGAGTGCCTGTAGTGAGAATAACCACGTCAGCCGGTTGTTCCCCACTTTGGTCCAGTCTGACATGTCTGGATGGATTTTCCATGAAATTTAGTAAAGACATCCATGTCCCCCTTAGGCTGAATTGTAAAAACCCCAACGTGTGCCAGGTCAGGTCAGAGGCTTAGCTGTACTTTGTGTTTAGTGCTAATTAGCAAACACATGCTGACACACTAAACTCAGATGGTAAAAACGGGCCGTTAATGGCTCTGATTTTTACATTTTCAGATCACAAACTCATAAACTTCAGCTGTAGTTTTCCAATATCTATATCTCCTCAGAAGAAAATGCTGACTTGCTGATCGTAAAATCAATTCTGTTAATTCAACTTCTTTCTCTGCTTCGATAAGGGCTTCTACTTTATCAGAATGTCTACTGTCTAACTGTCCATCAGAAATCTGCTGTATCTACAATAATGCTCTGTCTCAAACACTTGAGATGCATGCTCCTGTTAAAACTAGACTGGTTCCATCTACACGTACCTCACCCTGGTTCACTCCTGAACTTCGAATGATGAAAACTGAGGGTCGCCGCCTAGAAAGACTATACAGGCAAACTGGACTCATTGTGCACTCTTTGGCTCTTAAAGAACATCTGCTCAACTACCGTACAGCCCTTTGCTATGGTTAACAAACTCACAAATCCACCACAACATGTTATGTCAGGCTCTGAGGAGCTTGTAAATAGCTTCTCTAAATTATTTTCAGACAAATTGATGTGAATCACTTATTCCATCACCAAAAACACTCATACAAGTGACTCAAACTTAATGTTATCTGGTCCAGCTCACTCATCAAACTCTCTCTCTACTTTTACTCTGACTACTCCTGTTGCTATAAGTGATCTAATTGTGAAGTCAAATTCTACATCCTGCCGGCTCGATCCTACACCTACTATTTTGCTTAAGATGTGTGTCCTCGAGGTTGCACCATTCATAATGCATATGATAAACTGTAGTTTAGCTTCTGCCATTGTCCCAGCAGAATCAAAAACAGCTGCGGTGACCCCCATTCTTAAAAAACCTGGCCTTGATCATCTAAACATGGACAATTACAGACCAATATCCAATTTAACATTTTTAAGCAAAATCCTTGAAAAGGCTGTTGCTTCGCAATTGCGATCTTATTTGGATATAAATGGTCTTTTTGAACCTTTTCAGTCAGGTTTTCGTAGCACTGAAACTGCTCTTCTGCGTGTGGTTAACGACATTCTTTTGTCCATGGATTCAGGGTTAAATAATAAACATCTTGATGCTCCTTGATCTAAGCGTTGCTTTTGACACAGTCTGCCATGAACTACTTATTTCTCGGCTTTCTGATATCGGCATCACTGGTTCCGCTCTTTCCTGGCTTATATCCTATATCAGCGACAGAAAGTATATCAGCATACAAGGTCATAATTCTGCCACTATTTCACTTACACAGGGTGTTCCTCAAGGTTCAGTTCTTGGTCCACTATTGTTCATCATCTATATACACCCACTTGGTAACATCATACGCAGGCATGGATTTCAATTCCATTGCTATGCTGATGACATCCAAATTTATTTCATCACCAGCTCCGACAGGCCATCCCTGCCTGACTCACTCACTGCATGTATCAGGGACATCAAGCATTGGATGTCCCTTAACTTCCTCAAATTAAATGATAATAAAACTGAGATATTAGTAATCGGCTCTGCTGCCTCAGTCAAAAGGATGGACCAGTTCTTCTATATTGATGGTTTCCAATATTAAGCCTTCATCACGGACTCGTAACCTCGGTGTCTTATTCGACTCAACTCTATCTTTTGGCTCTCATATTTCTTCTCATGTCAAAAACTCTTTCTTTCATCTTCGGAATATTGCTCGTCTAAGATCTTCTCTCACTTTAGCTGACGCTGAAATCTTAATCCATACATTAATCACATCACGTCTGGATTATTGCAATGCATTATTTCTTGGTCTTCCCAAAAAACTTATTGCAAGATTACAGTACGTTCAAAACTCAGCAGCAAGAGTTCTCACCTCCACCAGGCGTTCTGCTCACATTACTCCGGTGCTTCATGACCTTCGCTGGCTACCCGTGGCATCACAAATCCACTTTAAGGTATTGCTTCTAACATTTAAAGGCATTAAATGGTCTTGCACCCCGATATTTGTCTGATTTTTTCTACCACCTACCGCCCTGCACGGCCTCTCAGATCAACTGAACTTGGTTTATTGTCCATCCCTCGTTTCCAGTTGTCTACAGTGGGTGGAAGGTCATTTAGTGTTAAGGCTCCAAAATTATGGAATTCACTGCCCCTTTCACTTCGAAATATTTCATCTGTGGCTACATTCAAGACACAGTTAAAAGCACATCTATTTAACATGTATTTCGTTTAAATGTGACTATATGTATCCTATGTGATTGTAAGTTGTGTGTTAGTGTGTAAATGTACCATGTAAAGCGACCTTGAGCTCTGGTAAGGCGCTATATAAATAAAACTTCTTCTTCGAAAAATGGTTAACATTATGGTAAACAGACTGTACTTTACACCACATGTTACATTCAGCCCATTCACACACTGATGGCAGGGGCTAGTGTGCAAGGTGCCTCAACTGCTCATCAGAAGCAGAAACTAATAAATTCACACACACAGATATCGGGAGCAATTTGGGGTTCAGTATCTTGCCCAAAGACACTTTGACAAGCAGACTGGAGGGTTAGACCGCCAACCTTCTGATTAGTGGACAACCCGCTCTAACTCTAGAGCCACAGCTGGCCCTGCTAAACTTGCCCCGCCCCTGCTATTATGTATGTATATTATGTTAGCATTGGTCTTGTTGGACTAGATATGTGAAATAGTAGGTTTTTTTATTATTTTATTTCCAATTTCTGCTCGTCTAATTTTCAGCCTTCTCTTAATGTAAAGCTCTTAAAACTGCATTTTCCTTGTGAAAAATGTGCTCTATAAATGTATATTTCTAATTTGGATATTATCAGAGTTCAAGAACAGACTGAGAATCTTCTCAGTGCACCTCTGGTTTATTTCAGGAGATCCACCTGCCTTTGTGCATTTAACCACGTCAAGGTGAAAATGTTGTGAAAATGGAAGTGAAGCCTTTACTTCGTTTTCATGTCTCTTTTGCAAAAGAGATCTTGATCTCAGTGAGACTTCCTGAATAAAAAAAAGCCTAACTAAGTAAAACCACATCAAGAAGTGGTTGTAGTCTTTTTAAAATAATTTAGTTGGTGCCAGATTTAGCCCATGCAGACTGTGTCTTGTTTTTACAGATGCTATTTTGTCTCACCACTGAGGACTAAAATGGAAATATTTCAAAACAGTATTATGTCATCTACTGGAGTGAGTTGTAATTTTGTGCCTCCCAAATTAACCTGGGCTCATTATAAGCACATCAGGTTTTTTTCCACTGGCTGCTTTGAATGCAGCTTCTGTCAAAATATCACAAATGATATTCAGAGACAATATTGTAGGGGTGGAGTGTTCGCCCTTAGTAAATGAGAACTACTAGGATATCTGTATGAATCAAATATATATATATCAGCAAGGACAGCCATGCAACAGCAGGGTAAGATGTCAATCAATGCACGGATAGAAAACATGGCTGTGCATTGGATAGGCAGGATCCCCCACATGGCTGTGTGTTGCGTCTCTGCATCCATGTGTAAATATCAAAACCATCAGCCAAACACACTGTATACTACTTCAGACATATCGAGGAAGGAGTAATAAATCCACTGCAAACGTCTTACGAAGATTTAATGTACATTTATTCTTAACACGTGGAACATATAGTATAAAGATTTCATACTGAATAAATGATATTCATTAAGCCAAAAAAAGGAAAAAAGAGGAATTTACATCAAGTTTTTAGCTACATCATCTGAAATACAAATATGCAGAATCCGCATCACTGGAAAAAAAATAATTAAAATGGTTTCTTCATCAAGGTCTAGTTTGTCATTTATGGAGGAGCTCAAATGGAACCGCAGACATGATTTATGTTATATTCTCTACACCCGGACCGGAGACAAACTGAAACTTGAAGTTGTGTTTGTTGGGGGTGGCGTTGGACAGCAGCTAAACACCCCCAGGAGCGCGATACGAGCAGGGTTGAGGCGCCTAAGTAACGGAGAGGGTGGGTGTCAAGTAATCACATTGCTTACTTGATGCAGGAGGGGGAGGGGGGGGGGACTTGGCGTCAAAGATTAAAAATGGTGAAGAGCAACAGAAGTTGAGAAAGAGAGAGAAGTGTAATGTACAACATCATATATACACTGCAGCTCGGACTGCATCTAGAGTTGAGGACCAGTCCTAAAGAGGTGACTTTTTAATATAAGGGTCAAGTCATACAATCAAGGGACAAAGAGAAGAGGTCGGGGTGTTGTAGGTTCACCATACTTTGGGGGGAAAGCCGTTTTCTCTCTCGACATTAACTAAAACTGTTTTTAAAAACTACAGTTTGCTGCCAAGCCAGCGTATCTCAGTGTGAAACAGTATTATTACAGTATGTTTACAGTTTTTAAGGTGTACAGTACAGAAAAAAGTCCTACAATCTACTGCACAGGCCTCCCATGACAGATGTCTGTTCACAGCCAATAATGTGGTTCCTGTGGGGCTGAGTATATAGCATCCAAAGTTACAGCAATTATACCACACCACAGTCCGTGAGTCTATGTAGCCTCCAAACATGAACCATAATATTGTTTAGTCCGTGCCCTCTTCCCCCTGCCGACCCCTCGAGGGAGGAAGCGAGCACATGTATCCCCCAAACTCACTGTAAACGAGACAGCAACTTTGGTTACAGTTTCTTCTTTTTTTTTCTGGAGATTTTTCTTTTCATTAAAAAACAAGTCCTTTTCCGCAGGGCAGCGCACTCTGTCCTATGCCGGGGTCCCAATCTGCTCTTCGTTGTCAGTATCTTTCCATTTCAGACGCTTAAAATCCACAGCTACTTCATGATATTCCTTCCTTTAGTGAGAAGCAGGGGGAGAAAGACAGTGGAATCCGAGGTGATTTTGCATAAATAAAAAAAAAACAAAATAGGACAGTCAGTTTTGCTCTTTTCACTCACACGCAACAGACACACGCACATACAAAAAAAGGGGAGGAGGGGGGGGTGACTGGGAACGGAAAGAGGCAGAGCTGAAACCTCCCCACGGCTGTCATGACTGGCCAATCAGAAACAGTACGTCACAGATCACCTGGGACACCAGAGAGTTCATAAGTGGGGACACTGAGATGTCAAGTAGCCGCGACTCGTACAACGTGAACTCCGAGTGGTTTTCCTCCACCTTCGCCAGGGCGTGCAGGGCTCGGGCTGCCCGCCGCATCATGTCCACGCTGGTGGGCTCAAACTGAGGTGCACCCTGCATTTGTAGCAGAGAGCTCTGGCTCTGCTGGTACTGTGTGGCAGCTAGGCTGTCCTCCAGGAAGCCCAGCAGGTTACCCACGCTGCCTTTCTGCACAGCAATAGCCCGCGCCGCTAGGCTGTCACCCTGGGCCAAGTTAGCCAACAGGACGACCGCCATTTCCCGGCAAACGGCCACCTTGCGTTCACCGACCAGGCGCACCAGGGAGCCGTACAGCTTCTCTAAGCGGCTGAACGGCGGCGTTGCCAGGATGAGGTCGACGTTGTTGTCCTGGATGCTGAGCTTGCTGAGGGTCTCGAGGACCAGTCTCTGGGGGGAAAGTGAGCCGTGGGGCCCCAGTGTAGGGAAGGGGTCCAGGGCCTCCGCTGAGGGGCAGACAGCCCAGTGGAGCAGGCCATCCAGCAGAGGCAGGCATATACTCTCTGGGTAGATAGAAAGGTCCAGCTGGCCTGAGATGTTCGCCAGAGTGACCAGGCAGTTTTCCCTTAACACCTCGAGGCAGTCCCACCACCACTCATCTCTCTCGCAGCTCACGCCTTCATCCTCCTCCTCCTCCTTCTCGTAGGTGACCGGTGCCTGTTTACGCTCGGGGTGCCTGTGGTGGAGCAGCACCAGGCGGCCCAACAGCAGCAGGAGGCCTGGGTGTTTCGACATCTCCAGGTCGTTCCCCGGAACGAAGGAGAGGCTGCGCACTATGTTGGAAATGCAGATGCAACGCCGGGCTAGTGAGTCCTGCCAGTCTGACAGCGTGCTGAGCGGCGTTTCGTCCTTGCTGTGAGGCTCGTCCTCCAGGATTTTGATGTTGCGTCGGCTCTGGAGGTCAGGGTTGATGCTGAACAGGTACTTGCCGTTCTCCTTCTGCTCTTCGGCGCCTCCACGAACCACTTCCTCTGTGACCGACCCCGGGCGGGCAGATAGTACATCATCGATGGTGGCAGTGACTGGTGCACCAATGGGAAGAAGAGGAGACTTCTGAGGTTCAGAAGACTGGGGTTGCTGCGGCCGAGGCTTGTCTTCCCCGTTGGACTTGGATTTCTCAGGGTTTTCCGTCACCACCTCGGTCACCTGGACCTTCTTGCGGCTCTCAGTGGCTGTTGGTGTGCGTTTCCTCTGCTTGAGAAGGTCCATCTGGCTCTCAAAGTGGGTCTGGATGTGTTCGGTGGTGTCACCACCACCAATGCTCCAGTGTATTAAGCCGCTATCGAAGCTCTGCCGCTGCCCGAGCTTGGACGAGTTGTTCACCAGGAAGGGATTCTTCTTCCGCACCACCTTGATGGGGAGTTTATCAAACTTGCTAGCCTGCTTGGGCTTTTCCGAGTGGAGGTTGGGGTCCTGGGAGGACCCTGAGGTAGAGGTATTGGGTTCCTTGATAGAAGACTCCCTTTCCTTCTCCTCGTCCTCGTCCTCTGAAGACTTGTGTTTCTGTGAGCTCTCCTCCTCCTGCTTCACCTGGACCAGTGAGGAGATGTCGGTGTTGGCCTTCGTTTCCTCTACCTCCTCGTCCTCTTCGTCCTCTTCTTCGATGTCCATGTCCTCGCCCTCAGGCATGGGAATTTCGTCATCTGAGTCCTCAGCTGCGTTGGGGTCTATGAGTGTGCGCTGGCCGGGGTCTCCGACTTCATACTCCTTTAAGATGCCAAAGATCTCGATGAGGCAGCGTCTGAAGTACTCCACCACCAGCTCCAGGAATCCAGGCAGCTGAGAGACCAGAGAACAAAGTCACCAAAACAATCCTCTACACACGGTGTGACAAGATAAAAGACGCGGGCTTGTGAAACTTACCTGGCACAAGTTAAAAGTAGAAATGCTATTGTCATCATAAAGTAAAATGTTTATGGTGTCCAGGGCCCAAGTGCTTTCAGCTAGTAAGCCTGACTTTAGTGACATCATCACTCTCCAAGCCTCAGGAGTGCCTGTAAAAAGACCAAAACAGAGTGAATACGAGCCAACTCGGTCATGATCAGCAATCACAGGTGTTCAAAATAAGCAGCGTTTATCTGTTAAACTATTTCAAATTGGCAGGCAGGTGGGCATTCATCAGACATTTGGTGGTGATTAGTACTGGGTCCATTCATTTAAAGAAATGGTCCAACACTGCTCTTACTATGCAGCTTTTAAGTCAGTAACATTTTATGACTTCTGTAAAACTACACCTTCGAGTCATTAATTGTAATTTGTTCAGTGCGTTTCAATACTGAGTGAGGTGTGAAATAAAACTTCTGTACCAATGTCTTTCATGGTGAGCCGCCTGCGGGGCTTTAGGTGGGGTTGGGAGGACTCCACAGAACCAGGAGGGAAGGCCACATCTCTCCTGATCATGGGTTGCTGCACAGGGGCCTGGCCAATATGGGAGGCGGGTACTGGGGGTCCGGCTTTCTGCACCTTAATGCCCGGATGAATGTAGGGGGACTTGCTGGGTGACGTCCTGCTTTCCATTGGCCGGGGCATGGGTGCTGGGCTCGACACCTGAGGAATGTGGTTCTGGGAAGTCTGGTAGGTGGATGGCAGGGGTCTGGTCATGGGGGGTCCAGAACCACCGGGGCCAAACGGCGGCTGCCGCTGGTTGACGTGGCCGGGCCACTGACCCTCGTGGTTCATGCGTTGGTCTGACGGCATCATCTCCTCGGAGCGGTTCATGCCGTGGTAGCCGGGGCCCTGGCCTGGTACAGGAGGTCCCTGTCGGTTGGGATAGTTGGGGTAGCCCATCTCATTGCGGCCCTGCCACATTGGACCCTGGGGGCCATCGGGACCTGAAGGCATGGGGGTTGCCATCATCTGGGGAGGCATTGGAGACTGGGAGTTGGGGCCTGCAGATGCCGGTCCTCGCTCCCGGCCGAAAGGGAAGGGGAACTGGTTCTGTGGGCCTGGTGGTCTGCGATCCCCTCCAGGGTATGCATTATACTGGTTATACATGTCCTGTTGCCCTTGGGGCCCCGAGGACTGGGGTCCTGGCTGCTGCTGACCACTGTAGGGGACGTTGTACATTTCTCCCTCATGGCGCTTGGCTGGAGGCCCATACCCTCCCTCTACAGGACGCTTATAGTTCTGTCAGAGGACAACATTCAGCATTACACTTAGTATCTTTATGCAACAATATTAACAAGAATTAATGCTTAGATCTGTTCAATAGGTTATAGGAACATTTACCTTTAATACATGTATGGTAAAAAAATATTTTTAATTAGGGAAATGTTTAAAAAAGAGGAATCAAGTTGCAATAACAGCACTGCAAATGCTGAACAAAATGTTCTTACCGGTTGCTGCTGTGGATACATTCCCGGCTGCTGATTTGGGTACGGGCCACCAGGGGGAGCTCCTTGGCCAGGGAACTGATTGGTGTAGGAGTCATGCCTGAAAACAATAACAAAAGTTCACACCATTAAATTTCACATTTCGTCTTTACAGTAAGTGCCAGTTGTAGTATGAAACTCCAACGCGGATGCATTCTTTTCAAAAGAGTACACTGGCAAACTGCCTTGAAATCACCATCTTTGTCCTTTAATGAAGACCAGTGTTAGCAGTGCATGGTACTAACCGTTGCTGTGGAGGAGGGCGGCTGGGCGAGTACATCCCTGTGTCGGCTCCAGAAGGCATCATGTTGGGCTGAGGAGCCCCTGGTCCCATACTGCCGTCAGGACCCATGCCTGGCTCCTGTCTGTAAACCCAACAAACATCACTCAGCAGCTGATCTGACTTAACTTCATATTAGGTATGAACAATATGGATTTTTTTTAAAAGCCGATATGATAAATGATGATTACCTGCTTCTCATGGCCAATACTGATAAGATAACTGATAATTTCGGATTTTAGTATTTTAGTAAGTTAGTTCATAACCAGTAGTTTATGCACACCTGAGTGAGTAGTGAGCAGAGATGGATGATTTCATATTCCATTGCTCTGACCTAACCAAATCTGACTGACCTCACGATGGTTAACACAACAAAAACAGAACAGTTGGAGCCCTTCAAATGTTTTTTTCCCTAGTATAGCACATCAAAAAACTTCAAAATCACTGATATGTTTGGCCCTCTGGTCTACACTGTGTGGCTCCACCAGGTGATGCTGTTTGACGTCATGAGCGCGGCAACAGGCCAATCTTGTCAAGCACTCTGCAACCCTTTTATTTATGTTCTACAGATATACAGTCATTATAATTATACAACCATGCTGACCGCTTGGAGAACAATGCAGTATGTTTACCTTCGGTCATATCCGTAAGGGTACTGTTGCCTCTGGCCCATCTGCATGTTGCCCATAGGGCCTGGTGGGCCCCTGTTATACTGTTCTCCCATCCCACTGTTGGGACCTGGTTGCATGAACTGCTCTCCAGCTTAAAAAGAAAAAGACAGATTATTGTTGGTTTCAGCTCTAACGGAACTCCTACGGCATTCTGATCCGCTGGTTCGGCCGTCTCTCACCTTTCCTCATGCCACCAAAGGGGTCCTTGTTAGACTCGTAGGGCCCCATTCGACCCATCATCTCTGGGCCCCCCATCCCAGGCTGGTAGCCCTGTGAGTTGGGAGTCATGGCATTCCTTCTGGAAAACGCCGGGTCTCCGCCGTCAGCAAACGGGTCCTGGAGATTAACGCTACTCCTGTAGGAGGGCAGGAGGCTTGTTAGTGAAATACAGGGGGATCATTCATGCTTTGTTTCAAAATTCTTGTTAATTTCTTGTTTTGAAGGTTTTAGAGTCTTGCCCCTACTAACTATTGCTTGGCACCCAAGAAGAAGTTGCAAGTGCAAGTTCAAGAAATGAGATAATCATAGAAATTGTGTTTTCCATCTGTAGCTTTTAAGACATTAAGCAGTGTGTGGACCATGTGCTGCGCCTGCTGCTACTGCATTTATTCTTAGGTGTTTATTTAACTATACGTTTTTATACAATTTTCCAAATCACATTTTTAACAATTGTTTCTCTTTAACACTTATTAACAAGCTGGTTGTGTGTATATCCTAACATGACCTACCATTACATAACTTACAGCATATTTTTCCGCTTGGTGTTTTCTATTTCGGGCTGCAATGATGCAATTTGTATTCATTTATTTTAACAGGGATCCGTTTCATTTTATTGTGATGCCTCCTGATATTGTTGACGTCACAGAAACAAGATGTTGAGGCTTCTAGCTCATACCTGACGCCAGGCATCGGAGGCATTTGCGTGTGCGGGGTGGAGGCTGGGGTCGGGGGCTTCGGGTCTCCCCCCTCTGCCATCGAACTACTGGTGGACTGAGGGGTCTGGGGTCCTTGCAGGGATCCGGAGCCAGCTGCAAAACAAGCGTATACATGCTGAGTACTGGGCAAAGACGATAAAGTCCTCCGGTTAGTAAAATTGAACGATCCTAGAGAATTCAAAGCACATCCCCTCTCCTCCCTCCTCTCTTCAATCCAGTAAGGAAAGCCAGAGCTGATAGCTGATAGTGAGGCGGGATAGTCTTGTGGATAGGCTGAGCACTGCTGGGGAACACACGCTGGCTTTTGGCAATCCTAAATCCCATTAAGAAATTCCAGAGCACCGCACAGAGGAACACCAGTTTGTGTCAAGCTGACTGGCTTTTGAGTGCGCAGCCAGCGAAAAATCTTCCAGCTCATCACAGCATGCCAACCCCCCCCCACCCCCCCACCCCCTTCCTCAGCCACCACCGGGGCTCTTGGAGTCACCAGGAAACAATGATCTAAACCCGGACTCTTGACAGATTACTGCCTGACCTGTAGAGACAGGGGACGGCACGTTGTGTGATTGTGTGCATGACTGTTCGTGTTGTGTGTGTGTGAGAGACATAGTAGCGTTCATCCTTAACTTCAGCTCAGGACTTCTCACTATTAGCACGGCAGTCTGATGACTCACAGGTTCCCATTCATTAAACTGGCACACACACACACAGAACACCGGGGTCACTTGCAGGTCACATTTATTCACATTTTCTCACATCATCCTATCGCCTCTCTAGCGCTCACACACACACACACACACACACACACACACACACATTAACAGGCTCCCCCTCCCCCTCCCCCCTCTGGGCAGGGATTTCCCTCTACTAAAGATGAAGGGAGGAAAGGGGGGGGGGGGATCTCATGAGGATGGAAAAAAAATAGAATGGCAAAAACAGTGTGTCAGAGAGTGAGAGAGAGAGAGAGAATAGCGTGACTTTTACGCACACACATACACACACATCCAAGCCGCTTCTCCCCATTCATCATTTCTGGCTCAGTACTAATCTCCAGGGAGTGTTGCCTTGCGCCTCTGTAGCCCTGGGCCAGGCACCAGGCAGCGAGGACACGCCACTGACGTGACATTGCTATCACCAAATCACCTCCTGCCCCACGCAGCCACCCCCCCGTCCCAGCTCTTCCTCCGTACTAACTAGAGGGCTGATGCCAGCTGACAAGCACCCTGATGCCTCCTGTAACAACACCCCGGCGCTGACTCAGTGCCCCGTGTCTGACAGCCTGGGTCTCCGCCAGACTGAAGCAACACGTGGTCGCTCCTGGTGTGGTTGCTCCTGGCAGTTAAAACCTGAGTCCCTCCAAAACAAACAGCTTCCAGGCGACACATGGTCCCAAGGACCGCCCCCCACCCCCCCCTCATACCGCCCCCCTTAACCTCTGATTGACTGCCAGTTTACACGCTGACTTTTACCCAACATTCAGAGTTCATTGAAAGATTTGGCATGCTGTGTCTGTTCGCACAAAAACCAACGGGTGGATTCTGAAAGGACAAGTCTTTCGTCATGTCCTGTGCAAATGCCAGGGAGTATTCCCCCAAGAGATGTGTTCGTGGAACTGTCCAGAGGATGTGGTGCACTTCTATGACTTACAGCTACACCGCCGCCATTTACAACTCCTCCAATATCTGCCAAAATAGCGGTGATTTATGGAGGATGGCAGCCGCATACAGGAGATGACAAACGATGTTCTGAGATTGGCTTTTAACACTGCAATTAATAGGATACAATAAAATACACTAGTTTATAGGGCAGATGATGTGAGGCAAATAGGGCAAGGAGGATGTGATGAATTGCATGGAAACCACACTGCACCCGAGGGAGAAAGGGAAAAAGGAAATAGGCTTTCATTCACTGGACACGATTGTGATTTAATGCAGACAGGGAAATGGTGATGAGGTGGAGGAGGATGACGGCGCTCACCTGGGCTGGGAGGCTGGATCTTGGGCTGGTTCTTTTTGGTGTCTGTGTTGAAGAAGTCCGGGGGCGGGTCCTCGCCGCGCTCAATCTTGCACTCAAAGGCGTACAGACACTGGATGTACTGTTTCTTGAGCGAACTGGCCGCGCTGCTCGACGTGCCCACGTTCAGGTTGGTGGCCAGCTCCCTCCACTTCTTGTTCTTGTTCACCTGGTGGGCGACAAAGGAAGGAGGCGGCTCAGAAAGCTGCACACAACAGCCTCATAAGAATTACTGTGATGTTTTCATCTGTGATCAAAAGGTGGAATCCAGGCGTACCTGGGTGAGGCCGCCGATCTCTTTGACGGACACATAGAGTCTGAAGAGATCGAGAGGCTTGCGTCCCACTGCCGGCAGGTTGTTCATGCCCATGGCCTTCTCCTCGGCAAAGGCTAGGAATCGATCCACCCACATCTTCCTCTCTGGCTCTGGGCCAAGCTCGTACAGACGAGTGATCTTCTCGTTGGTGATGGTGGAAGAGCTCGACTTCTACAGGATAGACGATGGGAGGAAATCATGGGATGAGAAAACAAAAAGGCTCTAATGTGCAATGAGAATTTCAGCATGTGGATTTTGAACTTCTACCTTTTTGGATTCTGGCTTGGGAGTCCCTTCCACTTTGTTGTTCATTTTCGGGGCAGGGGTCATTTTGTCCATGCCAAACTCCGAACTTGGAGCCATTCCTGTGTTGAACGGTAATAAGAGGAGGGTGAAATATAAAAGGTTACCAGTCTTATCGCCCACATTGGTACAACAACCACTTGAACATGGGCTGCAGTTACTCACCCGGGGTGTTGTTGGGCATATTTGCTCCCATTGGATATGGCCCTGGCCCTGGCCCTCCCTGGTTCATCATACCGTGCATGCTATTCATGCCTGGGCCATATGGAGGGCCTGCTCCCATCATGCCCTGGGACATGTTCGGGTACCCAGGTGGCCTAGAGTAGAGAACGCTTGTTTAGACACTTGGGAAAAATGAGACACAACAAGCTGATAAAAGTGCATTATTGTCACAATGAAACACCCAGAAATAAGTATCTGAGGGTCTGGCATGCTTTCCATGACTTTCTGTTTCATTCTGTAACATCTATGCTATTCCTTGTCTTGTGTTTACTGGCTTCAGCTTATTCTGTAGGAAATATCAATTTACGTCATATGATTCTAGCAATTGCCAAGCCCACGAGGGCCTCTCTGTAGGCTGAGCTGGCACGCTCGCTGGGGAGAGATGTGATTCACCGATGTCAGAGACCATCTCCTGCTCTCTCATTCGCTCCACTTTTTCCTTTTCTCTCACAGTCAAGTGTTTGGTCTGCTGCCATCTACTCTGCAGCACACTCAGGCACCAAAACACACAACAGACCGGCTTGCACGTGGGAAGAGCCAATCATTTTTCATGGTCACAAAACCAGCACATATAATCAAGGACACACACACACACACACACACACACACACACACACACACACAGCTAAACATTCAGGCTGGAGAGTCTGAATAGAGTGCGTCATACTGACCCTGGACAGGCAACTGCTCCCTGACACACTGATGTAGCCAGTAGCTGTAAGCACCCACCTGTTGTGTATTGAGTTTGTTGGTCCGTGGTGCATGGAGGGGCCGCCATCCTTCCTGTTCATGCCTGGAGGGGGGCACATCCCGGACGCCACCTGAGGAGGCATGCCGGCCATGTTTGAGCCCATCCCAGGACCATAGGGTCGAGCACCCATCTGCCCCGGGCCTATTCTGCCAGGTGGGATGCTTCCATACTGAGCCCCGGTGCCCTGACCAGGCATGGGGTTCATGGAGCCGCCCATGCCGGGGCCACTGGGGTAGTTGGCATTTGGCATCCCTGTATAGCCGGGCTGCCTGGGGTAACCTGGAGATGTCACAGACGGACAGAAATGTTGTTTTTTTGCCTAGTACCAGCAATCATCTGTTTATAAACCATGTTTTGGTCTAAAACAGGGAAATGTGTGGCAGGACTTATTCTCATCTCTCCCTGACGAGATAAAGAGTTTCAGCAGCCGCGGTTCTTAATTTACCTCTATGCTGCTTGTTCTGACAAGCAGCCTGATGAAGCGGGCTTTATCTGGCCGCTGCTGTTCGCTGCTATGACTCATAGCAGCGAACTTCTTCAAAGCCCACAGAAACCATCTGAGACTTCAAAGTGAAGTGATATAATTTCATATATGATATATGAAGTAAGAAGAAACTTCAAAGCGTTTGTGAAAATCAGGGCTATCTACAAAACTGTGGTGGTTGCAGGACGACAAATGTAAACTCATTCACATTATTTTTGGGGTATGAAAAAAAACACCTGCGTGATATGACGGAGCTTCCTCTTCTCTCCTCTACTATTTCGTTAAACAGTGTAGAGGGCCTGTTAAAGCAACACCGCCTACACTTCTACCCTGAGGCCTCACCTTGTGGACCATACTGGGTCCCCTGAGGCCCGTAGTTTCCCATGGAGTTGTTCTGGGGATAAGGTCCCATTCCACTATGCATCTGGCCTCCCGAAGACTGGCGTGGAGATAAGGCGGAGCCAGGTTGTCCAGGGGACCCGTATGGAGGCATCTGAGGGTTACGCATGTACACTGGAGAGGATTGGGAGGGAACATCATCAGACGCGCGATTCTTCATTCATAAAAACTCTGCATGTGCTTCAACACATGGTTACATAACACGTTATGGCCCTGTGTGAAGAACCTAGCTCTTTACCTCCTCACAGACACACAGTAGTAGTACAATGTGTCTGGCTGCTGTTACCCTCATTTGACCAGGCAAGTAGACTACAAGCACATACTTATTTAAAAGACACAGCCTGGAGGAGTGTTCAGGAGGAAGGAAGGCATACAAATGCAAACAATCACACCTAAAAGCTGCTGAGGTCCAGACTCACATTCACTTTTGGCTGCTGAGCTGAGGAGGAGTATGGGGCTTTTATTTTAAATACACCTCACAATTTGAACCAAAAGCCACTTGAGGCATGTCTCAACACTCACCCCTGTCCTGGCCCATGGCTGACTGGTTCATGGAAGAGTGCATGATGCTGTCCGACTGGACGCTGGGCGGCCGGGGAGGCATCTGATTACCTGAAGGGCAGCAACAACACAAGGGCTCAGGAACTCGAAAAGGACTTAAGAAATCTGACTGCTGTGGTTACCTACAGTCCATCCAAACGATGAAATATTATCCATAAAATTAACATAAACCAATCAAATCCAAAACAAAAAAATTAAATAAAAACAAAGAAAGACTATCCTGGTATCTGCCTATTAAACTGCTCTCCACACAATAAGTTGTCGGCGGCATCGTAACTTCTGTTTCTCTGGTGTCTGGATGGTTTACTAGCATCACGTTAGGAGAAAATGTTCCCATCTGGCATGTCACTTGTCACAAATGTGATCTGTTGCATTTGTGAGCGAGCAAGTGCTGAATAAAAACTCTAAATCAGACTCCTGCTTGTTTGCTGGATGTCTCACACAGCATCCAGCTCAGTCTATGAAAAATGTATTCAAATTATTTTTCCTGGTTAGGTATTTTTAGCAGGGATCCTTTTTATGTTCAGCCTTTGGCAGGTAAACTATTATCACTGCATTCAGTTTCATACTGCACGTCGCTTATGTTTGGGACAGTCCTGTAAATAAATCTGCATTTGTTCTCTTTCAGAGGCCCTTTGCTATATTCTTGGTCATTTAATTTTTCTTTTAAGGCTATGTTTCATCTCATTACACTGAATAATTTCAGTAATACATTTGTGTTTGATCTTGGTTGTTTTTCCAGTAACAATGCATCAGCCTTCTGGGTGCCTGCTACATGGATATAAGACTGTCCATGTGAGTTATATTTCATTCCGAAAGCATGGTTTGAGATTTCAAAGACCGCTTCAATGCACGTTTTCTGTGAAAGGAGCAAAGTCTTGGAACTTGCTACAAACTGCACACCTTTAAGAGAAATGTCAAGTCCTGGTTGGTTTAGCAACACACTTGTACTCACGTCTAGTCTCCTGTAGTCTCTGTTACATGTGTTTTATTGTATGTTGATATACTCATTTTACTTCCTTTTATCTTCTTTTTCTCTCCCATTGTCTTTTTTCTCTCACTATTTTACTATTTTATTTCTTTAAAAGCCCTTCTAGGGAAGGGTGTTGCGAATTAGTAACGGCTAAAAACACAATGATACACACACTGGATTGCTGCTTTCAGTTTATCTATGCAAACTGGGTCGGTCCCTGTTAAAATTAATAACTTAAATTTAAGGCCTTCCATTTCAAAAATAAATAAATATTGAAATGAAGCTGACATTGAAGATGCCAAAATCTCCAGTACTATACATACAAAAAAAAGTTATAATACTATAAATAACCAAATAAGTCCAGAAGTGTTCCATACTGTAATTCTGATGCTGCTGTGAAATCCTGAGCAAAAACAAGACCGTCATTTAAAAATGTAGATATCTTATCTAAGTCTTCTTAGTATTCTGTCTTTACCTGGCACAGCAGCAGGGGACAGAGGACCTGTGCGGGAGGGGGTGACGCTTGCGGGGGAACCCACAGGTGATGGCGAGGGCCCACGTATCCCTGGCAGGTGGGGCGAAGTGTGCGGAGAGAAGGGTGACTGGGCAGGATTGCTCTGCTCACCCTGACTGCTGGACACCCCTGAGGTACTGACGCCGGGGCTCAGGGCCCCCTCTGCACCGGTGGGCAGGTCGTCGATGGAGCCCGACAGATCCTGAAACAAGAGGAGCAACATAGGTTAATGATGGGATTATACAGGGAAATTAAGTTAGTCTCACCTTTTAACATGCTTTGGGTTTCTCTCAGTGGAAATGGAAGTGACGTTATTTGATAAGATTTTTTTTAAGGTGGAATGAAATAAAATAAAATTTACTTTGACCGTTAAAATGCATGATAAAACAGCAACATACTTTGCAAAACACACACAGACACAGACTTAGTTCAAGTTCCAATGTCCAATCTATTGTTCATTCAGAAGAACAGATTAGACAACTGCCTGTAACTGTAAAGACGGAGCTGGAAGCTGTCAATATTACCAAGTACCTTTTTAACACCTAATTCATTCTCTTCAAACACGGCAAATTTTATTCTATGCACCATTTCTTTTTAAGTTGATTTTTTGGGCATTTCTGCTTTCTTAACATAGCAATAACTGGAAAGGAGAGGGGGGAGGACATGCAAAGGGCCTGGGAATCACACCTGGAGACTTTGAAATGAGACGGTTTGGATGGGATTGGTTTGTAAGAATCAAAATTTCCAAGACAAAAACCATCAAACAAAAAACGATAAATGATATCAAGGCAAATCAGTCTGTGTGTGTAAGCAGGGATGTAAATAAAGCCCAGTTTGGTTTTAAAATATAAAAAGGCTGGAGAAAAGAACTGAAAAATGTGATTCATATCCAGGTTTTGTCCTGCACATTCTTGAATGAGAAGGGTGAGAGCATTTTATTTCAGTCATGTCAAAGTCAAATGAAACCAAATCAAGTGAATGGAAATCCAAATGGCCACTGTTGCGTTACCGCAATCTTTGCCTTCACCAGGGTTGTGTCTGTTATTCTCTCATGAGACTGCCGGCCCTATTATGGCGCAAGCACACATGCAATCACAATGACTTCTTGAACATCATCACTCCTATAATGTTGATAATGATCCATCTTGGCAAGGAAAACTCTGTGTGGCTTGCAAAGATAAAGCTTGTGTGTATGTATGTATGTATGTATGTATATGTGTGTGTGTGTGTCTATGTGTGTGGGGGGCATTTTAAGCAAGTCATCCCGGGAAACAGCTGAAATAATTGGTGCTGGGCACGGGCTCTGGTGCCATGTGGTGTTGTTATTGAGCCTCGCTGGCTGTGACACAAAGACAGCCAGGCAGGCAAGAAGGTAGGAAGGCAGCCGGCGGTGATTATGTTTGTGGGAAGGTGAATGTTTACACACTGGCCACTCACGTGGAGCCCATGTGCTTGCTCAGAAATGCAAGCTCATCTGCCAGTCACATCGGAGGAGGGAAAAAATGGGAGGGAGGAGGAGGAGGGAAAAAAAGCACTCATTGGAAGGTGGCCAACTATTCCCATAGAAATCTCACACTCGCAGGCTGGCTGCAGCCCCGAAGCCGGCGGTTTTGCACTTGAAACAGCGCCCGTTGCTATTTTTGGGATGTGACCTGATGGAGGAACCCCAGAGGGAGTGACAGGAGGAGAACGCTGATTCAGAATCCACCCTCCCTCCCTCCCCCCTCCAGTCTACCCCCACCCTGTTCCCTCTGCCCTCCCTCCATCTCTTCCTCTCTTTTTCTCACTTCGGCGACTGCACAAACCCAGGCCTTTCCGACCTGCACAGGAGACATGGCAGCTACACAACCATGCAAAAAGCAGCAGGAGGGCTTTATGTATGAAAACCACACTCCAAAGTGTTTCACACTGGCCGACAACCAATTAACGTTCACAAACGTAAAAGCAGGTCAGAACAAGGCACAGCCACACTGCGTGGAGCAGGGAGATCTTAATGCTCTAGAGCAGAGAGCACAAATCAAACAGCATGACATTCCTTGCTTAAACAACCATGGTGAGATCCTTTTTCCAGCAGCCAGCATCGTCAGCTGACCTACATTCCCCCTCTTCCCAGCCTGCACCACCCCACCTCCACTCAGATATCACAAGACCGGTCATCTGACACTGGGCTCGGTCTGAAGGCCCTGGGCCAGCCACCACGATGACCACCTCAGCAGCTGCCACGCTCAAAGCTTCAGAGATCCCCACACAGAGCCGTTTCCCGGCCACGAAAACCCTCCCACACCAACTCCTTCGTGACCCAGACCACGGGGCAAAAAGGTCAAGGGGTCGATTCCTGGGGAGTCACGTCTCGGCAGGAGGTCACTGTGGACGGCTGACATACACACTTCAGTGAAAAGACAGAAAGAGGGACTGAAAAAGTATTACCAAGGCCAGATCTATCCTGTTAAAAAAACAATGGCCTTTAAAAGAGGGATTCGGGTTAGCCTACTCCTGGGGTCGTTTAAGCAGAATGAGGATCAGTTGAGTAAAAATCTAACAAAAATGAGCAACATTGGAGAAGTGGAAGTCTTCAGTCTTGCCACCATTACCTAATACATTGTTGAATATGACTGAGTATTAAACCTCTTTACGTTTTTGGCACTAAGGTCAGCTGTCAAGTATCAAAACCCATCAAGTGCCAAAAACTGCCATTGAATACTTCCTCACATTTGTTATCCTTTGACGAGACAGTTTCTGACTTAAACATCTGAATTTTGGCAACCGTTGAATGATGGAGTAGAATTATTATCATTTCCACTGTGTTGTTTTTACCTCTGCAGCCGCAGCACAGCCCCCCAGTGAGAAGCAAATAGCGTTGTCCTAGCAAAAGGAAAGAATGAGTCAAGACAGGGTTAATGAATGTCACAGAGCAGTGACAAAAATGTGGTGAAAGCCCTACATCTTGGGTTTGGTGGCTGAGGTATTATACTGAGTGAAATAAAAACAGATCTATCAGCATACCCCAACAAACAAACTACCTGAAATGATTCAATAGAGGGTTAAAATGATTTAGATTAGACAAGTGGATTCAGATTCAATAAAATGCAATTGAGCCTCAGTCCTGGTTACTATAGGTCTGACAGGGGGGTTTGCCCCCTGATTGGAGTCTGTGACAATCTTGCTTGGATTTTCTTTGGTGTGAAAGACAGAATTTCTCTGCAAAAAGAGCTATTGGTGTGAACGCCACCCACGGGAACCAAAATCAATTGACAAGATAAAATACTGACATAGTAAAATAGTATATTATTAACTAAAAAAAAGTAGATTTAGTCTTAAGTTACTGTTTAACATTATTTTGTTAAATGGACAGTTAATAGGATTTGGTATCAGAAAAACACTGGCGTCATTGGCACGACAAAGTGTAGACAGTTGTACAACAAGAACTTATGACAAAATCAAATCAACAAAAATAAAAATCTAATGCAAATCTCCAAAAACATTCTCATATACAGTCCACCTGCCATACCAGCGTGTACGCAGCATAGAGGGCGAGCTCTTTAACATCCTGTAAATATCTGACAACTGACAGCTCTGGTCCCTCAGCCTGGATGGGCAGAAGCATGGCACACACACACACACACACACACACACAAGCTCCTACCTACTCCCACTCTGCAGTCATTGATTTTCCAGGCTCAATACTGCACAGCACCAGCCTGTTCTGCTGACTGCACAAGCCGGACAGCGAGAGGAGAGAAGAGGAAGGGGTGGGGGAGGGGGTGGGGAGGTTGGTGATACTGATGCTGCTTTGGCTCGGCTATTCAGCACGCTCATCATTAGAAGGCAAATGATGAAGAGGACGTGGATCAGGCATGAGGAGGAGTGGGGCGGCTAAGTTTGAATGTGGGGGTTTATGAGCTCGGAGGAAGGTTACAGCGGCATTTATCTATATGACAATTATAGCAGGAGATAACATGAGGATATACAAGGGCACAACCGTTTTCCAACGCGACAACAGGAAGAGGGGACGATGTGTGAGCTGTGTTGTGGAGAGAACGAGAGAGCTGCAGCTCTTTCTGTGGAGCTCCAAGCTCCTTTCTATGGCAGCCATTTTGTGTTTTTTCCCAGCACTGCCTAACATGGAACTTCAGAGCTGAGAACTGCAGAACAGTGCTCATGATGTCTGAGGGTTGAAGGGAGGCAAGAGAGACAGATTTAAAACAGTGTTGTGTTAAAAATCCAATAAATATTCCTGAAAAACATTTTCTCATAATGCAATTATTGTTCATGAATGTGGAAAATGGCAGAAAGTCTTTAGTATTCCCATTATTCCCATATTCTCCACTGCTCTTCTGAGTGTGCCTGTGCTGTCTGAGTCATCTGCTCTGCTCTCCTCTCCGCCGTCCTAATGTATTCCATTTGCAGATTACTTCACTGAATCAATCAAGCCCGACCTGAGCCATTAGTCTGCCAAACCAGCCCATTTCTTTCTTCTTCTTTTTTTTGTAGGTTGTGGAAAACAGAATGTGGGATAAGAAGGGTAGCGTGGCTGCCCTGAGATAATGAAACGTATCTGGATTGTGTCACCCTGGCCAGTGTAACTAGATCTAGTGGTGGGGGTAAGGAGGGAGATGTGGTGTGGTGTGGGGGGGCAGAGTTCATCCCTCAGTCACACACTCTCCCTGACCCACTCTTCTCCGTCATTCTCAGACCTCAGGATTTCTCAACCGCCTGGGCTGGCAGGCGTCCTTGTTCTCAGGCCTCCAGATGCTAAACGCAACGTATAAGGGTGGAGGGTGGTGGGGGAGAAAAAAATCTCACTCTCTCCAGATTAGCTCGCACACACGCTCACATACCCCTCTGTGGAGAGGTGATAGCTGAGGAAGAGAGAGTAAGGAGGGGAGGGAGGTTGGGGAGATAAAAGAGGGAGGGGAAAAATGGCTGCATCTCAAGGGCTGCCATGGTTACTGCGATCCACGTGGTTGACACATTAGAGCCGACACAGTCCCTCCCCCATGTTGCCGCCATCCCCCTGTCTCTCTCTCTCTCTCTCTCTGCGGCCTCCCTGCGTGCCTGGCAGGGTCACAGTGCAGTCAGCTACTACAAAAGAAGCAGCCCGTCATTGTTACAGGAAACGCAGACGCACCAAAGCTGTGCGCTCCCCCACCCCACCCCCACCCCCGCTTTAATTACACACTCAGCCTCCGGGTCGAGGCGGCCTGGGAGACACACACACACACACACCCACACGAAGTGGACAAACACAGAACAGCAAAACCTTGAACGTCTTTCCCTGATGTTTATGTTTACATGCTGACGACCTCGTCAGTGAGAATACTCCAGCGCTGCGCATTTACCGCTTATTCATGGCGAAGTGGGCTTTTAAGATCCAAACGGGGTCATGGGAAAAGTCATCTCTTCCCTTTTAAGCGTTAAGATCAAATGAAATTTTCTCTGCACATCTCCTGAAGGGGTTTCTCTTCTCCTTCTCCCAGCTCAGCCTCTGAACGTGCCGACTTGACTTCACTGAGCCCAGTAGCATATTATCTCCAGACCTCAGTCACAGCGCTTCTATCTGCACGCACAGATGACAGATAGACCGTAGGCTCTCCGACAAAACAAAATTTAGGCTTCTACTCTTTTGAAACCACCTGTAGTGACTCCATGCTTCAGTACCGTGGGAGGACAGCAGAAAATGTTCAGGCGCTGAACAAGACGGGCAGACGGGTGCTCCCGACGCCTCAGCCACCTGCCCAGAGGGTTCCAACTGCATCCAGGGGCCGTGCAGAGCCACGAGGAGCTTCCGGGAAGTCCACCAAAGGCTTGGAGAGAGGAAGCTCTAGCCCCAGCTGGAGGTTTGCAGGGCTGAGCTCAACCATAAGGGGGCACTCCCATCCCACTATGAGGGAAGAACTGGAGAAAGGAGGAGAAGCAAGGCAGGCCCCTGCCTCATACAGCAGCAGCAGCCATTACAGGGTTTCACATACAGCACAGGCTGAAGAGAAACTCTCTATATACAGTTAGAGCTACCTATAGGTGCACCAAGTTGCTATTTCCCATTGCATCCCGTGATATAGAAATGAGCCGTTGAGCAGATGGCTCAAAAACGCTCAGTAGATGAAATGAACGTGTGTGAGTCCTGTTATCTAATTTTTTCAAGATGTAGGCAAACGACATGCGTGGCCAGCGAACACGCCAGTGACACAATGCTCAGATACTGGGAGCACCCTACTGGGGTTGGATATCTTGTCTGGAGTATCAGTGCCACAGACACAATGTCTACTAGCGCCACAGATGAGCTACCTCCAGCTCCCCAGAGATCTCCATTACACTGATACTTTATCACCAGCAGCCACGTGGGAAGGATAATAACAACACGGACAAAAAAGTACAAGATGAAAGAGCGCACCAGCATTGTTCAGAAAAACAGTCTGCTAAGGCATAAAAAGAATTGATCAATACGGTTCTGCTTCAACATTCCTGTGTGACGCTGACTTGCACTCAAAAAAGAAAATAAAGGCCAACTATGAATCTTAATCAATAAGTAGTGAGTTGTTTTTTTTAATGCTTCACATTTGCCTAATTGAGCTTCTCTGTGGGGGTAACAAAAAAGGGGGTGTGCAAGGCACACAAACACCACAGCAGTCTGTGTGTAGCTAACACCGAGTAGATGGGGAGTGGGGGGGTGCGGTCTGATTGCCGTGAATAATGGGGAGATGGTGTGTGCATGGGGGGCCTTTTGTAGAGATCACAATAGTTGCAGGGAGTCCTAGGCAGCACACAGATGCCCAAGTGAGGCAGGCAGCTGCCCAGCCCGAGGTAAGGGGTGCTGAGATACAGAGGGCGAAGGGGCTGAGGTTGTGGGGGGGGGTCTGTGGATGGGGAGGCTCCAGACCCCTACAGCCAGTCTGCCTGCTCTCCAGAGCAGCAACGCCCCTCCCCTTCTACTGTCACACACACAAACACACATACAGCGTGTCTAGAGGGCGCTACCAAAGCAATGACACTACCAGTGAATTAACTGGGGAGACAGGGAAAAAAATAATATAGAGGTTATTTCATAGAGTGAGAGTTAATTTCATTGTGAGGCCGTTTTCATCCATCCACGCTCAGCAGCTTGTTCCAGCGAGAGCAGTAGAAAGCAGAGCACAGACAGTGCTGCAGTCAGCCACAGTCTTTGTGCTGCAAAACTAGCTCAGCCCAGCAGAAATGGAGGCAGAGGGGAGGGGCATGGGAGAGTGTGTGTGAGTGAGCGGAGAGAGCAAAAGGGAGAGTGTTCTGTGTGTGTGTGTGTGTGTGTGTGTGTGGTGTGTGTGTGTGTGTGTGTGTAAGCTCACAAGAGCAAAATAGGGCTTGGGTTTTAGCAGGCTGAGAAACAATTCACTGAAGCAAATGCAAAACAACACACTTTGTCAGCAGATTGAATTTTCTCAAGTACATTAATTAAAAATCACATAGAGGAAAGAAAGGGGTGAGACAGAGGGGGAGCAAGGAGAGAAACAGACGAGCGGAGAGGGAGGGTGAGTGAGAGGCACCCTGGAATCTGAATAAGACATGTCCACACAGGAAGCAAGGCCCCCAGAATAGCAACAGGAAACTGGCCCCGGACTCTGAATACTGTCAGCGTCAGAGCCTCGCAAAACAAGGCTGCGCTGCACAGCGTTATGAAAGCTGATTTACTGAGAGAGGGGGGAGAGAGAGAGAGAACGAGGAAGGCGAGGAGGAGGAGAGCGCAGGCGAGGGAAAGAGAAAACGAGAATTTAGACAGAAAGAGGAACGAGAGAGAGAGAGAGGCAGAGAGAGTGAAATATAAATATATAAAAACAGAAAGAAAGAGAAAAATGCAGCAAAAAACAGAGTGTAATATTGAAAAAGGCACG